TAGGGGTTTTGAAGTGAGTGTTTGATGTTGGATATTTATAGTGTTGAATATAGTTGTTATTTTTTGTGGGTGAATTAATATTTTAGATTTTTTTTTTATTATTAAATAGTTTATTTTTTTTAAATTTGTTTTTTTTTAGATTATTTTTTTTATTTTTTTTATATTTATATGTTATTGTGTATTTTTATTGGAGATTTATTTGTTTATTGTTTTTTTAGTTTATAAGACACTGAAATTTATAAAAATTCGAGTCACCATTCTTATATAGAAATACAATTTCTATTTGAACATTTTAAGTAATACCAGAAAGTCAATATCAATCTGTCAGTCTTTTTTTCACTCAAATTAATCAAAAATATTTATTTCTGAGATTCCTTTTGAATGCCAAGATACTGCATTAATAGTAAAGATAATTTGAAATTAATATAATTTTTGAAAGAGGTTAATAAATTGGAAATTAGACTTTATATTTAATTTGATATATATATTATTTTATCAATTTAAAAGAAAAATTAATGAATTATGATTATATGGGAGCGATAAAGGTGAAGGATGGTTTATTTTTAGGGGATCAATTTGCATCCTAGGTATACCTTTTCAATTTAATCAGGATCTGGAATTTATTGTCACAAATAAAATATCAAGAATAATAAATTGCGCATCAAAATAAATACCTAATCACTGGGAATCTATAGGGATCATATATATGTCATTTCCTTGGATAGATAATAACCAATAAGTATATATGACTATATTTAGATTATTTTTTAATCAGATGAGAGTATAAACATAGCAATAAAATTCATTGATGATGCTTTGATTAATGGGGAAAGTGTGATTGTGCTTTCAGCAAAAGGACATAATAGATCTGTAGCAGTTTTATGCGTTTATTTAATGAAAAAATATAGATGGACTCTTTATAAGACTTTACAATTTATGCATAATCGAAGACCAGATCTAGAAATGAAAGCTCATTTTTTTAATTAACTATTATCAATAGAAACCAGATTGCAGAAATAAGGATATGGAGCAAAAACTTTTAATTGGGATGAATTATACACTTAAGGAGAGAATGATGAAATATTAATAAGGAACACTTATCTAAATTCTTAGCCTTAGGGTGTAGCAGAATTTAAAGATCTTGATTCTAAGCCAAAAGAATTCAAGTGATTTATTTAATTTAATTAGATTGAAATTTACTGATAAAATTACAATGTAAATTCCTCCTTATGATAAAATAATCTTCTCCAAAAGTAAAAGCGTATTTAAAGTTATTAAACCAATCATAAAAGTGTCTGGTTCTTCGAAATAAATAGACCCAAAGTTTTAATTACTATTGAAGTAACAATAATAAAAAATAAATTACGAATAGAATTCAAATATTTATGATTAATAAGCTAAGAATCTAAATTAACCTGATCAACAAAAATAAAGTCCCTTGTAAACATCTTCAATTTTACCTCAAAGACCATCATCAGTATAACAAATACGTAAATTATTTGAAATAATGTAGAACAATAAAGAGTTTAATAAAATAGTTTTATGGATTCAAGAGATTAGTTTTTTTAAAAGTAGCAATAATAAAATTAAAATGGATTTACTGGAACCCGTAGACCTTAAACAGCCCCAAATTAGTTGAAAGCCCCTAGAGTTTAAACCACTCCTTATAAAGGGAATACAAGCTCAGGATAGAAATATGAATCAGGTCCATATCCAAATTCTCAATTTAAACCTATGAAGTAGAGAGCATAATCTCCTAAGGCAGCGTATAATGTTTCTAACCCATATGTCTAAAGAGATTTCAAGTCTAAATCTATGAAAAAATGATTTAAGTTTTCAACTTTTAAATTATTATTATTATTATTATTCTACCCTTTCTGGAGAAGAAAAAACAAAATAAAATAAATCAAACTAATTTATCCCATTTAACCTCTTTAGCTCTTCTATCTTTCTCTCTATTCGCTTCCTCCATCTTTCGCTTCTTATACAACTCGTTATTTTTTATTAAATGTTTTAACATTTTAATTTAAATGATCTTTAATTAAAAGCTTATAAGTAGCTCTCTGTGCATGTTTTTTACATTATAACTTTATTTAATTTTAAATTATTTTAAATTAATTCTTATTCAAATTTTATGAATAAGAACATTATCATTTAAAAATATAAAGCATTAACTAAAAAATAATGAATCTAGTATAATTCTATTTTCTTAATAACAATTATATATTCTTAACTATTTTATATTATCAATACTCTTTAAAGTAACAATAATTATAATAATATATTATAAATAGTATTAGATATTATAAAAGTACTTTAATTAAAAGTTGAAGTATTAAAAAGTTGCCTTAGAGAAAATTGTATTGTAAAATTATATCTAAAGAAAATCTAGAATAATTTATTAACATGAGCAGGGTGGCGAAGTGGAATCGCGTTGGGCTCATAACTCAAAGGTCGGTGGATCGAAACCACTCTCTGCTATATTTTTTATTTATTTGATTTATTGCATTCTTAATAAGAGGCAATATAAAACATAATTCAATAATTTTTATAAATTCTTTAATAATTCTCAAATCAATTTTGGGCAGATTTCCATAAATATAATTCACCATTTTATTATCCTGTACATAATAACTGATGGTTATTAGACAGATAAAAATTAGGGTAATAATCTTGTTAAATGCTAAAGAATTATTATTATTATTCAGATGTTATATTCCAAATTCGAATATCTTTGGTTGAAGACGATATGATTAGATTATTATGATTGGAGAATTAAACATTCCAAACAAATGATGTATGTCCTATGAATTCTAGTATTGGTTCCCAGTTCTACACCTTCCATAATTTTACAATACCATCTTCTCCTCCTGTAACCATATATTTTAAATCTTTTGAGAATTGTACACAATTGCATGTAGTTTTGTGAGGTTGTACTTAATGAACTATTGAAAAATTATTTTAGATATTCCAAATAATGAGTTGTTTGTCTAGAGCTGATGTAGCCATCAATTTACAATTATTAGAAATTGCTATTCCTTTGACTGAACTTTTGTGATGTTTCAAAATACGCGATGGTTCAGGTTTAGTTTCATGCCAAATAATTACTTAATGATCTTAGCTAATTGATACCAATTACGACGACTATGGTACAAATTTGATTCTTTCAACAGTTTTCGTATGGTATTTTAACCTGAATATTGGCTCTTTTGTATCATTTATATTCCAAATTCTAATGATGTAATCATTTGACCCACAGGCTGCAATATGCTGACCATCATCTGAAATATCAACACAAAAAGCATAATCGAAATTATCGCTTATCTAGCATATTTCTGTGTGAGTAGAAGCGTCCCAAATTTTCAACTTACCTTCACTACTTGCAGTTATGACTTTAGTACAATCAGGAGTTATCACTACTGAATTTATTGCAAAATCATGTGCTGGGATTATAACAGGAGTTGATTTAAATAATAATTTATAATCTGGAACAGTGTTTTCCTAATTAGTTACTATTTAATATATATACTTCTGCTTCTATCTAAAGTACACGTTCGTATATCTGTTTTATTTATTACCTTGTTGATGCCAATTATGTGAAAATGGGTTGAAATTACTCACTTTGGAGTTGGGATTTATTAATATTTTTGAATTAGGAATATAGAGTTAAATAACTTAGATTTTCTGACAAATCTTATAAATCGCAAAGTATAATCTAATTTTAATTCATTATCTTTTTGATCAACCTCGTATGATCAAATTTTTCTTGAATTTCTAGGACTTTTTATTCTAATTACTCCAAGTCTTAGATGATATCCTTTTTCAATATTGAAATCACCTTGATAACATTAGATTTTGTTATTTTCTCACATTCTGCTATATTTCTAACTAATTCTTCAATATCTTCAAGAGGTGTCCAATTAGGGTAGGTGGATTTATCTTTTTTACAATTCTCACATAACACTCGATTTTTCATAGAAAATTTCTCTGTTATGCACAGACTTGTTATTTCATTATTATGTTTTGGGCACTTGATATCTTTAGATCTGAGTTTTAATGAATTAATCATAAACTAAAATATTTATACAAAAATATCAATTAAATATCTTCCTACTTCATTATTTATGTTATTTTATCATAAATAGTGTAATGAAATCAGTTAAATCTTCATATAGATACATTGATTACAATTGTAAAACATTTTATAATATTGTTATACGTTAACATAGATTCATTTATCTTTTAAGTATAATGAAATCGATAACATATTTAATATTAACATTCAATTCATTTTTTTTCAATTTAATGACATCAAAATCAAAAAATAATTAGAAAAATCTTATAACCTTTTATTAAAATTTTCAAATTACTTTACTAAATTTTCTATTTTTCCTTAAAAAATTCATTCATTACTTCAGGATTTGGAAAAGAAATAATATTATTCTTCTTATACACAATCTATATAAAAATAATTATGAATAACAAAATCTAATTTGATGTCTTTATATTTGTCTTCTGTATTTTTAAATCCCGCTTATTTCATTATTAGCGACAATAATTATTCCTTGTATTGAGAAAAGATATAGAATTAAATCCACTTTTCCAAAAAATGATGATAACTACAACCTATATCAATATTGAGATTTTATGAATGATAAATAAATAATTAGAAATAATTCAGAGATAAACATAAGGAAGGTAATACTTTTACTTTGAGTTTAATAAACAAATTAATCGTTTATGATTCATGAACTTAAAAGAAGTTTAAAACATATGATAATAAAAATGAGAAATTGTTTCATTAAACCAATTTAAGAAAGTTAGGTACTCTTTATTATTTGGATAACATTTATTTTCTGTAATTGAGTATGGCTGTTCTAACTTGATGATTAACTTTTAAGTTGTTTTTATTAAGTTTATCATAAAAGTTTTGGTACTTCTCAGGATCGAAATAAGTATCCTTCAGATGAGAAGGTAATACTGATGGAGAACGAAAATATGGATTGTAAATTCTTGGTTCTGTCATTTGCTAAGGTTCTTCATTTACAATAGTTTGAGCATTCAAAAGCTTCTTTAACACAAAATCAATTTCGTTTCTTCTTTCTTGCATCTATTATTATTATTATTGTTATTTTTGCTCTGGTATTTTAGGTTAAGGGATTAATGTTGCATTCGATGAGTTCCTACTTAATATACTTGTTTTGTATAGGACTTATTCTTAAACCTTGTTTAACAAATCTTGAGTACTCGAATAATGGCGATCTGTTTAAATAGGCGGAATTTTTTGTTTAATTTTTCTAAGTTATTTTTCAATTGATTGTTTTCTAGCTGTTCTTATTTCCATATAGTCAGGAGTTTTATCTTTGATAGGTTTAGGCATAGGAAGGAATAATAAATTGGAATTTTTACGATTGAACATTATTATATATATTAAATATTAGTTTTGAAAAAAGAGTCTCATAAGTTGAATTGCTATTTTATTTGTAGTACTTCTTTTTCATTTGTGGCAATCAACAAATCAACTCTCTCTAAATACTCTAATTCATCTTATAACTTTTTGACGATTTAAGAATGTTTCTTTTCACCTCTTTAAAGGAATTTTTAAAGCTTCTCTTAAACATTTTCGAATTATTATTGTTGTGCTTGTGGAATTCTTGGAATAATTGGTCCTGGTTTATTCCTCAACGTATTCCAATTGATTGAATGCAAAAATGGATGCTTTTTGATTTATTCAATTGATTCATGACCAATTCTTTAATTGAAATCAGGATTCAATAGTTATTTCAATAGATCGTAAACACATTCTGAAATTTAAGATTCTGGATCATCCCCAATATCTGGCCACTCTATCTTACCTTCCAAAATATTAGAAAATATTTTGTCTACAGATTCATCATTAAAAGGAGGAATTCCAACTAAAAATTCAAAGAGTATTACTCCTAGAGACCAATAATCAAGTGTTTTATTGGATGAGGAAACTCCCTTAATTATTTCAGGAGCAATATAATCTGGAGTTCCTACAATTCTTCTTCTCTCCTCTTCAGATCCCTTATCATATTGACTATTATTAGATCTAGACTTTTTAAATGAGGCGCCTCTTTGAATTATATATCCAGGAGAGGAAGATAGATCTTATTTAACGATATCTCTCTAACTGGCTTTCCTTTTGACCATCATTTTATTGAACCCTAATTCACTTAACCCAAAATCAGCCAATTTAATATGGCCATTCTAATCCAATAAAATATTTTCTGGTTTTAAATCTCTATGAACTATATTGTTACTATGCAGATATTCTAATGCTAATAGAATTTCAGCAAAATAATGTCTAGCTATATTTTCATCAAATGCCTAACTAATTATAAATCTTTACTCCTTCTATCATCAATATTTTAGCGAAATCTCCACCAACCATATATTCTTATACGAAACATAAAGATGATTAATGTTAAAATGAATAGAATGCCTTGACAACATATTCACCTGTCAGTATTTCAAATATATTCCTTTCTTGTTTCAATTAGGTTAGTAGTCTTTCAAATGGTCGATTCGAACAGTTTATTATTTTCAATGCATAATGATCGCCTGTTGCTATTCTTTTAACCAAAAATACTCCACCATAGGCACCTTATCCTATCTATCTTATGAATTGAAAATCTTTTAAACATATGTTCCTTTCCTAGTTTCTATTTTCAGCATCCAATTTAATTATTTCACTATCAGAAAAATACCCTTTTTAGGAGGCAAAAAAACAATCTTGTTCAAATAGGATTTATTCGGTTGAGTCAATTGTTTTCATCTATTAATCTGAATTTTCAATGCTTATGTCTAATTCGCTTTCAGAACTTGCTGTCTATGCAAAACAACTTTTCTTCTTTGTCTGAAAATGACTGAGTTTATCTTACTCAGATTCGTCTTAATTCTTAATGGTTTGAGCAGACTACTATCTTTAAAGAAACTAGCTTATTTTTCCACTCTTTTTTAGATTCCCCATGATTGACACCGATGATCTGGCAGGAGTAGAAGGTCTTGATCGTGTTCTTTTTTCTGATTCATTTGTTTCTTCGGTTAGACTGAAATGTGTCATTATTTTACTTACTTCAAACTGATATAATCCGAAAAGGAATTCAACCTATGAGAATCTCGAACAGAACTAGGGCTATCCTTGCTAAACTTACTTACTCTGAATGATATGCTGCCAAAATTTTATATCTTTACTATCGTATACAAAGTCATATTTTACATTTAAAACAATAATCCAACCTTTAATTGATCAAACTATTCATTTATTCAATTAAATCGAGAGTACTCTAATCCTCTATACTCATTTGAGCTGCCATTATCTCATTTTGAGTAATCAAATGATCTTCAATATATCTATTTTTATACATTTAGCATCTAATTCTTGATTCACCACTTTCTCCCCATAACTTATCAATAGTAATAATATTCTATATTCTTAATAAACCTGTCTCGTATCTTCACAACATTAAATACCTTCATTTTTACGCAGTCTCAATTCTTTCATGCTATATTCACTATATTTCAAACATTTACAATTTTAATCCTTGTCTCAAATGAATTTAATGTTTCTTCATATAAGCTTTTTCACACAAACGAGCAACTTATAAGTTTAGTTAAATCAATTTCTTTCTTTATTCAGCATTAAGCCTACAAGTTTAATTATGAATATCCATTAAATTAATGTTGATGCTTTCATTGCAAATACGACAAATTATCAAATATTCCATTAATAAAATTATTTAAATACGACACTATATCAAATTTTAATGTTATAATAACATAATTTCGACATTTCAACTAATCCATAATATATTTTAAACTATACAACACATTATTATAAAAAATTAATTAACAGAATCCAATTTATTACAACATTATTTTTTTCTCTCTTTCTTTTTTATTAACTGCCAAATATATTTTTCTTCATTATGAAATATCATATTGATACATTCATTATAACTCTTATATTTTTTAATTTTTAATCTAACAACTCTTAATAATATTGCTCTAACTGTAAATATAAAAATATATAATCTTATACAATAGTTTTGCTATATTTACAGGTTGAATTAGATCAAAACGGTGATATATTTAAAAAGATGAAAACTAAAATATTTTCAATTAAAACGAATGGAATTTGAGTAATAAACTTAATATATGTGAGTAAGTCAATCATATTTCTTTTTTGCTCTGTTTATTAATAATAAGGTCTTCATTAATGGAGTTACAGGAATCTTTAGGGCTTTCCTATTCATCATCAGGACAATTATTCAAGATTCTTTGTTCCTGAAACAATTTTGTATATATTTAGGTTAGAGGCGATTTGTAATCAAGGTAGGAAATCATTGCCTCAAAATCAAACTTGGTTTGAACTTTAAGATTTTCGAATTTCCAATTCAATTTAACTAAAATATTAAAATAATAACAATGCTAATTTTACTAATTTATTTATCTTTTATACGCAATCCTACGATAAAGGAAATTGTGTCATCAAAATTGTCATTAAATCTATTTGATTAACTAGTTAATATTTTTTTTTCACATTTAATAGGGTATATATAAAATATAATTATGTTAGATACTCTTAAATATTAGATATGAAACTATCTTCAACCTCATTTTAACTATTTTGATATTCGAATTAAAATGAATGGTAGGAAAAAGAGAAAATTATTTTGACTTTTTATAAATTTAGAATTCATAGTATTTAAATAATAAAATACAAAATTTTTCATTACTTCGATAGATGTTCTTTAAAGTGAACTTGTATAACACCTACCTTTTTAAGATTATTTTAAATTCCAATATCATCATTTAACTGATCATCAAAATCATCAAAGTCATCAAAATTGCTTACTTTATTTGGCTTATTTTATAGTTAATTTTTAACAACATCGTGATTACTCTTCTCTCTATCTTCCAAATCTCTGAATTCACCGTTAAAAAATATTTAGCCTTATAATCTTTGACCAAGTGGTTATCGAATTAATGAAGATTCTCTAGATAGAGACTTTTTTGAGTTTTGTCGAGATCTTTAATAATGACTGTCTTTTAATCTACTATTTATTTTAGATACAACTGAAGGCACATAATTTAAGACAACGGAAGATTATTAAGAACTATATTATTCTATGGTTTAAAAAGATTTCCTCTTTTCACTTTTTTTTATATCAGGTACCTTTAGATAATCCCCCTATAAATTTGAAACATCAATATCATTAAAGGATTGTTATGCTTAATCAGACGATTTGGTAGAACTAGTTTAATTATCATTCCAATCAAATTTTCTATCAAAATTGATTCCATTTTATTAGGCCATTTTTTAGAGTAAACTAAATAAGTATTTGTAATCTGGAGAGGCTGCAAATTTCAATTTCTATACATAATCCATATATCTTTAAAATTCATTCGGAAGTCCTTTACATAGCTCTTTCATTTCTAATTCCATCTTCAATTTGCCCACTAACCTTGTTTTTTCTCTGTCTGAGGACGATGTAATATTTTACCATGGTAAATTTCCTACAATGAATTTAACGAGGTACCTTTTAATAAGTATATGAACACATATCCAAGACTTTCTAAATCATCTCTTCTTGACAATTCATAACCTTTATGAGCTGAGATACTAGCGTAACGTGTTGTTCCCATAAATGGCTTGTTTTCTTAAAATGGTCTAAAATATCAATGTATTTTATTTACATATGCTAGCCATTATTACGGTATTTTTTAGAAATACCATAATCAACTAAATAGACTTATTGAGAATCAGTTCCTCTTCCCATTAATATATTTTCAGGTTTAATGTCTCTGTGTATAACGCCTCTTTTATCATGGAATAATTATACCTTTTATGAACTTCTTCTATTATAGTAAGTAATTGTTCTGCCAAGTTACAAATGGTTTTTAATGACAGTTTTTTATATCTTTTTAAAAAATATGATAAGTCTTTTCCAAGTAATTGCATAGCCATACAATTTGAATTATATTCATTTCCATACCAAAGTAATTTTGGAACTCCTAAGATTAACAATAAAGATTTACCAACAATCCCTCTTAATTCTTCAATAATTTAAATTTCTCTCTCCAAACTCATAACATCACAGTTTTCTTTTTCAACTTTGATGGCAACATAATCTCTTGTAACTTTATCATGACAAATATAAACAACTCCAAAAGATCCTTTTTATCGACCATAATGATACCTTAACTTAATTTCTCCTTTTGGACAAATCTTCCATAGTAAACTCTTCCTTTCTCTTATTGCATAAAAATATAAAATATATATATGGCAAAATTATTTACAACAATTTATTATTAGATACTGATATTAACAAAATTTGGAAATTTAAGAACATTTTTAATATATTTTGCTTTTCCAAGTTAACATAAGATAAAATATTCATTCATCTTCTTCATCATCAACAATAAAATTATTTAAGGATTATTAAGAATCCTCATCAAAAGATCTGTCCTCAACTAATTTTAATTTTTTCGTCTCTTTTTTACTTTATTTCTTTGTTCGTTTATTCACATTCTTAGATTTTGTACCTTATGCCATTTCCTCTTCTTTTTTTTCTTCCTTTTTATTTTCTTCCTCTTCGATTTCTTTTTAGGATTGTTCAACTAATGGAGCTTCTTCTCCAATTAATGGATTATAATTTTCACTCTAAAATAAGATTAAATAAATACTATATATCTTTCTGGATTGGCCTATTTCTTTTTAGATGTTTTTTCCTTCTAAATCAAATGTCTTTTATTATACATTTTTGTTAATTGTGTTTTAATTTGAGCATTAACAGTACTTAATAAATTATCTTTTAATGGATTAAATATCTAATCATGGAGATCCTCTTTCAATAAATCTGGAGTAATTCGATATTCTTCCATAATTTAAACTACATTCCAAACAGCATCTCTATCATTTCTAAGTACTTTTAATTCTAATAATTATTTTATTAATTAGAATAAATATTTAGAATATAATTTGATATCTGATGTTAGATAAGTAATGGGAGCCAATCTATTTTTAATTTAATGTCTTTCTCTTTTGATTTTATTTGCCGTCGAATTCTTTCCCAACCATGAGGGAAATTTAGGGAAATCCATTTATTCACCCACAATAGTAGAAGGATAAACACTTGATAAGAATCCAAAAGAAGGCATTAAAGACCATTGTTATTCCTTTCTGATTTTCTTAGAAATTATATCTCCTTCAGCAATTAATTCAGCTGCCTTTGCAACATTGTTAATGTCCTAATGATTAGATAAAATGTAATTATCTTAAATAATAAGAGGGATTAAGTCATAATCTAAGAAAAACATATCTAGCATATCTCTAAGAGACATCTATATCCTTTGATTTCTATTTAGTAGACTTACTGCAGCATTAAACGTATTAAAAACACAAACCTTATCTTTTTTGAATCCATCAGGCTAGAACAAATTTGTATTTGATTGAAATTTTTAAAGTTCCAACATATTAATGCTTTATCTAATATCACAATCAAAACAAATTGCTAATTTCTCTAGATCTTCAAAACTCATATTTATATTCTCTTATTCACAGATATATTTTAACCTTTTAGCCACAGATTTAGCTTCTGGTTTTTAAAATTTAATGCTATAACAATGACTTAGCAATGATTTCAATTTTGGGTTATCAATATCATTGCAAATACAGACAATAGGAACTCTAGTCGATTTTATACATTCTATTAAAGCGGATATTCCTCCTCTATCTGATCCAGTCATTCCATCTACTTCGTCCATTACAATTAAAAAGTCCTTGTTTGGTCTAAATAGATTCATAAGCACACTGTTGTCAATCAAATCATTTAATACAGATCTCAAACTTCCTTTATTTCTTTTGTCTGATGCATTGTTTACTATTAATTTCAATCCTAAAGCTTCAGCCACTAATCTTACCATCGATGTCTTTCCTATTCCTGGAGGACCACTTATTAGACATGCTTTAGACCTTAATTTATAATAATACAATTACATAATATTTCCAACAGGTTAAGAATCTACCCATTTTTAATGGGATAAATTTTTTTTTTGATTTTTTGATTTTGATCTCCTTCAGAATTAGGATGTTGGAATTTGTATATCCAATCATTTAATTGGGTTATACTTGATTTATTGTCAACTAATTCAGACAATGACATTGGCATATATTTATCGGCTAAGCTAAAGTTTCTATTTTAATCTGATTATACAGTTTCCTACTAATCCTATTTCTTTGATCCTGATTTCTTTAATAATTTAGACAAACTAGAATCTGGGAATATTTCATCTATTCCAACTCCTATTTTATCGACCAGCCAATTATTAAGTTCATTTTCTCTTATAATCTTAGTTCCCTTTTTTGTTGCCTCTTTGAATTTATTTCCTTCCTCTCCCTTTCGACCATCTTCTAATTTATCTCCAACAATCAAATAATTGGTCTTTCCAGAAACACTCCCAGTAACCTTTGCTCCATTATTCTTTAAAAACTATTCAAATTTGTCTCTGCTACAAACATTTAATATACCACTCAACACTATCGTTAAACCATTAAGTAAATCAGGGTCGTTTTTAAATACATCTTATTTTTCTATTTCTACATCCATTTACTTTTTATTTTCTGGCTTTGAAACCTTAAGTGAGTTTTGTTTTTCCCATGTTATTTATACAGCTCCTTTCTTCTTTTAAGATTATGGCAATTATTCAAATTAAATATCATAACTTTATTTTATGTCAGGTCCTAAGTCTTTAATATTTTTATTATTTTTCTCTACACCAACCTTTTTTAATTGTTAAATTATATCATTTCCATTATCTAATTAAGGATTCTATTTTTATAACTGAGTTTAAGGCTATTATGTTTACACTTACATTAATTGTTTGGTTTGTGATTTGTTCTTAACTTATTCTTAAATTTTTCTCTCTATTTCAATTTATTCTTCAATATTAATGTCATCAACATTAATATCGACTGACAGTTTTTTCATTGTCTCCTTTTGTTTCCCTTATGAACCAAATGAAGGGTTAATTTGGTACACACTTTCCAAAAAATTGAAATAAATTAGGTTAATTTGGTATTCTTTAAGTGGATGGTTTCTTCTAAGGTTATGCTGGAATTTACGATTTAGTCTATTTCTGTGTTTTTTGTGTTGCTAATACTTCAGAAATCTGTGTTGTTAGTTTTTCTACCTTTGAATGTTAAGATTGCTTTTAGACATTTAATTATTGTTCACTTTATTTTTTCTAATCATATTAACTTTTGCCATCGTACTTATAATTGTTAAGATTATACTCTTCTTCAATATCTGATAGAGCTTCTGTATGATTTGAATTTTTATCTGGTGAATTGCGAATTAATCTCTTTCGGGAATTGCTCATAATTTTATTAATATTTTATAATCATTGTTAAATTTCTTCAAATTAATTATTAAAATACAATTCTTATAAGAAAAGGTTTAATTTTAACAGGATAACTCACTAATTAATTAGAATAACATGTAAACGTTTTGCAAAATAATTCAAATTGAATTCTTAGCTTTATGCCATAAGTTAATTTATTATATGAAAAAAATTGAATTTCTCTACATATTTTTAGCATCTTTTCTTTTAATTTTTGAAATATCTTTTTCATCATATTGTACTGCTCCATATAATCTTTTATTGTTTATTTTAATAGAATTAATCATTGTGTTATGAACAAAGTTATTTATGATCTTTTTTTCACAGATGCAATTCTTTAATTAATTGCTCCATAATATTAAATTTGATTCTTAAAAAAATTGTATTTTATTGATGAGGAATCAAGTATTCGATGCTTTTTTATCATTTTATTTAAAAAAATTGTGAATTTCATATTAGATGCTAATATCTATCAAAATATCTATAGATAAAAACAAAAATAATATATATTGAAATTTTTAATATTTATAGATGTAAATAATATAGATTAGGCTTTCAATATGTTGAAAGTATGAACAATAAGTTTTAAAATAAATTATATATTTAATATTGTATGTTTAAATATTTTCAGAATTTCAGAAAATTCAAAGATTTTGATGTTAAAATATAGATTTCAATCACATTACTGAAATAGTATGCACAATTGAAATAAATACTATATCATTCAAAAACAAGCTCATTCTTACATCAATATTATATAAAATCAATTTTTCAAACTTATTTATTATATGATCAAAAAAACACACATTTGCTTCATATAAACGACGAATGTTTTGTTTAAATAATAATGATATGATATATTATAAAAGATTACATTTGAAAACGATACTAAATTTATATCTTCACATTGAGTCTTTAGAAATCAATTTAAATATTAGTAATATTTAACAATATATTGTCTTAAAAAAAAGTAGAAAATAATTGATCTTATCTTTATTCAATTCTTATGCTCAAATTTTCTTCTAATTAATTTAATCCTACAGAGAGGGAACAGTTGGGATGTATAAGCAATGGTGCAAAATTATAATTGATAATAAGGAAAACATGTTAAAAATAATTATCTGATTTTTTGGTTTTGTGAAGTTAATTGTTTTGAGAGAAGATCTATGATTAATTCAGATAATTTTAATATCGTCATTTGAATATAAATTTCTTTAAATCAAATTTGATAATTAATATAAAGTATTAATTCAATTTATTAAGATATTATTTATTTAATAATAATGATTAATGTGTAGTATTTTGATATTTCCTGAAAACATCTTTATGTAATATTCATTATTTTTAATTCAAACTGATTTTAAGATTGCAATGGGATGCACTATATAGAAATAAAAGAATAAGAAACCAACTCTTGGGTTATCAGTATTTATATTTTTAAATTAAGCTTAGAACTAGGAAACAGAAATACTTTGTAAGGAATAGTTGTAAACACCAGATACATTAGATATGTAGAGTCCTCGATAATAAAATATCATTGTGTTAAAGAAACTACTTGCTTCTTCCAGTTTGAGTGTTGATCAAATCATTAAACCGCCTTTGAAAAAGAGCTCACATTCTAATTTGAGCAGAAGTAGAAGGTAATGACTAAATTGATTATAAATATGTACATTGTTGATATACTTATGAAAATATTTATATTATATTTTGTCATAGATAAGTCAGCTTTTGTTTTAAAACGAAATAAAGATTTGGTGAAATACCTCATAGTCAAAGCCTGTATTTAAGGAAATGTAGAATTATATTAACTATTATTTCTTTATCGCAATTCTAATAAATCAAGTAATAAAATTTACAAGTATTTAAAATCATATATTTTATAAGAAATATTAATGATAAAAATTATTGAAGTAATTTTAATTAATAAGGAGCACTTAAAAATAAATAAATTTAATTATTTGTTGTCCTTTTAAGACTAGCTGTAAAATAAGAGCAAACTTTAAATTATATGATTAATTAAATGCGATAACTGATGAGAAAGGCAGAAATAATAATTAGTATTAACCAAATACTCAAAATATCAAAGAGTAGGGAAGGATGAAATGAATATAAGATATTATTTTGCTAAATTTTAGAAATTTCATTAAAAATACTGAGTAAAGAATTTTCAATGACAAAATTGAAACGGAATCAGATTTTTGGTGATTAAATCAATATATTTATTCATATTATAACATTATTAATGAATTTTTAATAATGAAATCAAATGAAAACTAAGATCTATTTCAATGTGAATTAGAAAAAATAGTAAATAAAAATTATTTTAAGAACAAAAATCACATTTATATCTTAAATTCTTGTGTTTACTAAAATGTTAATATTGTAAATCATTATATTTTAGATAAAAGACAAGGCTAAGATAGAGTTACAGTTGTATTAAGAAATTAAACGATTTCAAAATCTCTTTAATGATCTTCAACTAAATTAGGTTATTCATTAGAATTGTAAGATCATTCGTAACAGAATATAATTGACAGAATATACATAAATTAATATATTAAATGTTCGCTTTAAGAGAAGAGGATTTAAATAGATTTAGCCGAACCTACTTTGCATAGCTTAGAAATTTTGATTAAGTAAGTAAGTTTGATTTAAGTAAGTATAAATTTGAATAGTATTTGATTTCCATGATAATTAAAAACACTAACAGGAGACTATATAAATAAAAAATCAAGTTATCATGGAAATGTGTTAATAATATAAATTAATTTTATTATTACTAATTATTTAATATTTTTAATTATGAATTAAGAGGAAAATGTGTAGTAAAATGTTTCAACTAAATCCAAAGAATACAAAGAAGAGTGTAGACAGCTCTTAGAACGAATTGTAGCTCTATAACTCAAAGTATTTAAAGCTCCAGACCTATATGTCAAAGAAGTCTTAAATGTTGTTGAATTATATAAATAGGTATGTATATAATCAATTTCTTTAGTAATTTGAATTGGTTAAATAAAACCCAGGCTAAAGTAATGGCAAGTTTAGCATAATTGCTTAATTTCTGTCAAAGGTTGCTGTATATTATAAAACAGACATGAAATTTTACATTGAAGATTTGATGGAACTAATAAACCATTTCTAAAATACATTAAATTAAGGTTTAAGAAAGAGAATCATCTTTTGTTTATTAAGGTTACGAGGCAAAAATTTAATTGAACCTTATAGGATGATTGTATTTTTGATGAAATTGTTTAACTGCTAAGATAAAGATTTAAGAAGAATTATTTTTAGATTCATTATCAAAGACATCAAATAATTTAATAAGAAACATAGAAATGAAACTTTAAATAAATAAATTTAGGTAAACTTATATATATCCTTAGAATTTTATTATTGATTTAATTAAAAAATCATAAGAAAATATTGCTAAGCGAGCAATTTAAATAATGATTGAATTATATAGAAAAAATATATGGAAAGATAATAAGTGTGTAAATATAATTGCACAAGGTTGTTTTAATTAAAACTACAAAATTAAATTATTGGCATGTTATTTCTTAATAGAAACAACAGAAACTCATGTTGAAGTTGAATCATCAGAGGATGAAGCTGATAAATATATTTAAAAAAAAGGAAAAAACAAATGCGTAAAACCAACTAAGGCCAGAGAACATAGAGTTGAGAGAGAAAAAAAAATGGCAGACAAAAAATAAAGGAAGAAATTGTAAAGATTAAGTAGCAGTGGAGGATTCTTTGCTTTAGATTAAATATATTCTCCCTAAGATTTTGCTGAAAGATTATTTGATAATTTAAAAAAACATGATAGTGAAAGATTCTCTGTTAAATTGGCTATGATGCACTTGATATCAAGATTAATCCACAGACATAAATTACTGTTAATACCTTTTTATACTTATATTCAAAAGCATTTATATCCAAATAGTAAGGATGTGGCAAAGTTATTCGCTTATTTAGCTGAATCTATACACGATTAAATTCCAAAGGAGGATTTATAGCCAACGATCAGGCATTTAATTGATCAATTTGTTAATGATAGATGTTAAGAACTAACCTTGACTATGGGTTTAAGAGGAATATATGAAATACTATAAAAGCACCCAAAGATTTTAGATAAAGAAAATATTACTTATCTAATTCATTACATCAAATATAAAAATAGAAATGTCAGTTAAGCTGCAAGATCGATATTGAATCATTTCAAAGATACAAATCCTTAATTATTAGATAAAAGATTAAGAGGTAGTAAATGGAAGAGTACAGAAGAATTGGATGGTGAATTCGATGATAATTTTATATAATAAATAACAGTAGGTATAGATGGCGCAGATCTGTTACAATAAGAAGAAGAAGAGAAATTGAACAAGAAATTTGATATTCCTATCTATTGCGATAGAATATTAACGGACGACGATTTTAAAAGAATTAGAGCATTAAAAAGAAAGAAGGAAGCTGAAATTGAATAAAATAAACTTTAAGATAAATAAAAAAATTAATATATTGAATAAGAAGAAGAAGATGAAGATGAGGAAGATTTTGAAGATGATGATGAGAATGATCAAGATGATATTTCAGACATTAGTGGAGATAGTGCAGAATTAGATGATAATGAGAATGAAAATGAAGAATGGGAAGATGAAAGCATCGAAGATGAGGATATTGATGAGGATATTGATGATGATGATATTAAACCTGATAGCAAAATCACAAAAGAATAAAATAAAAAAAGGAGGTAATCTTTATCAGATTTGGAAGAAGATTCTGTTTAAGAGTTTTATTCAGATGAAAGTTAAGTATCAGATGAGAATCCTCATGGTTATGTAAGAGAAGAGGATATCATGAGATATAGAAAAACTAAATCAGAATAAAAGCATGAAAAGTTAGAAGAATTGAAAAATGGAACTAAAGAAAAATGGTAATCTTATTATTTATCTTTTAAGGTATCAAGGTCCCAATAAAAAGAAATCAGAATTTGCTTCAACATCAAACAAAGAAAAATAAAAGAATAAACCATTATAAATGATGAGAGCCAAGAAAGTTGAATAAAAGAATAAAGAATCAAGAATAAAAAGCAAAATAAAGGACTTAAAAAATAAATTAGGGCATGTTAGAAGTGGAAAATAAGCTCAAAGGTTAAAGAAATAGAAGCTTAAATGATTTTATGTATTTAATATGATGAATTATATATGATCTCAATTATAATAACTTAGAGTATGGAAATTTGATTGGGTGAATCTAAAGATTTATAATTACATGAGATATATACAAGGCTAGTAATTTTAATAAAGAGTAAGAAGTTATTAATTTAAGATGTGTATAAATTTTCATTATAGAAATAATTTCTCATATTCTAATCTATAGTTATCATAAAGAGCCATGCTCTCATTGTCATCATTATCATCCTGGATTTATAATTTCCAACAACCGTTGCAATTATCATATGTGAAAAACATAGCTTCGTTCTCTATTACCTAAATACCTTTAGGTATATATTCTCTTTAAGGAAAGGATACCCTTACGTGTTGAATATGTTCAATTATTTATTTGACTATTGTTCCAGTTGCTAAAGAGATGATGTAAATTCCTTAGGGTAAATGTACAAACAAGTAACTAACCATAAAAGGGTAGTAATTATCAACGATATCAAATTCAACTCTATCTGTTGATGCTTCTATGAATGGTCTTAATTTCTTGAGTTTGAAATTTTGAGTATTGATAGCCAAGAATTCAATCTAGAAGATATCTGGATTGATGATATGGGGTTTTATGATTTCAAGATATATATATTTATTGACTAAGGAGGGTTTAGCTAAAGCAATAAATCCTTTCACTCTCTGTAGCTTTGTAATCTTGAGTATAACCTTCGATCATTTATTTAGTAGCTATAATAATGATATAGAATACCATGATTCACTCTGATAATTTCAAAGATTTCAGTATCTCCGTCTTAAGGTAATTCATTATAACAAATAATTAATTCATTAACTCCATCTTTCAAAGGCTTTTCTGATAATTTAATCCACTCATCTGGACTATTAAATAGTTCTGCGTATTTTTGATATCCTTCTTAAACTTCATTATCTGTGTTCTCATCTGGAAAATACTTTTTTCTTTCTGTTGTATCAGGTGTGAATTGGGTTTCTGTCATTTAGATTTTATATTTGGATTTAGGTCTAAAAGATCTTTTTCTTAAATCATAATATCCTGTATCATATTCCCATAAGTTCACATAGCCTCCTTTGTCAATAGTTAATATTTTTTCTGGTTCCTCTAAGAATCCAATATATACAATCTCTTGTCTGTGATTCTCAAAAAATTCTCTAAAAACATGTGGATTCTTGCCCTCATGTTCTTCCTATATTTGCAGATTTAGAAAGTTTTCATTAGGGAATTGTTCATCTTCATTGACAATGATTCTGGTATTCAAAATATTGTGAATCGGAAATTTGTAATTTTGTCCATTAAACATGTCAACATTACTATTATATTTCATAATCGTTCCATTATTACTTCCTACCATTAAAGTTGGTTATAAACAAGAAAATGTAATTGAGGGATGAAATATGCTATATGTTAATATCTGTCTCTTCTCTTCCTATTTCTTATTTCTAGCCAAAAAATCATTATTGAGAGTGAAATATTACACGTAGAACATTGGTTGATATCCTTCTGGCAAAGACTCAATGCCTTTTAATTACTCTTTTGGAATATTCACTTTTAAGTTGTATCCCATATAGCATACTCTAATCAACCCAGATTCATCTAGTATTAATAAATGCCCGACATTATCCATTCCAAACTATACATCTGTAATTTTTGATTTTGTGAATGATGGAACTATCCCACTTATTATGGCAGGACCTGAAGTGGTGTCATACAAAGCTACTTCTCCATTCGACATTCCTATTATTAACATGTCTTTAAAAGGTGACAACACTATATGTGTGATACCCGCTTTAATATTACTATAATGGTTTTTAAAAGTTTGATGAACAAATGATATTTTTTCCCAATATTATATCTCATAAGCCTTAATCTTTTCCAACCCCAAAGTAGGTACACATTGAAATTCTTCAGGATCAAGTATATTGATATCAGATTCATCTATTTCTTCGTCTTAGCGAACATCCTTCTTGTCTTCCTCCTTATCTAATTATTTTAACTGTTTCTTCTCCCTCATTATTTTTAATAACTCATCCGTATTGTAATTTTTCTTTCCTTTCTTTACTTTATTCCATTAGATTTCATTCTTATTCTTGAAATTAAATTTCAAATCAGTTATGTTTTTCTCCATATTCTCTCCTCTTAAATCATAATACAATTTCTTAATTTAATCAATAGGATTAGTAGTATTCCTTTCATATTTCACTGAATTCACAATAATATTCAAAGCTACTGATTATGCTAATAGATTGACAACAGCTATTTCATTAGCTGCCTCTCTTTATACTTTTCTCATAACTCTAGCAAAGATCTTGTCAGCTTCCTCCTCTAGAAATTCCCTATCTATTAGATAGTTTTAAGTTCTCTTTAGATTTTTCCCCTTTTAATTATAATCTTTTCTTTATTATTTGAGCATATGCATACGATTCTCTCTTTCCAAGATTTTTCGTAATGAATTATCCACTATATAATCTACTATCTTTCGACAAATAAATAGAGATTCAGCATTTCTCTAATTGTTAATTAAATTTCTTATACTGTATTTAGGTATTGTTTTATCTCTCCATTATATGGTCGATCTTAAACTTCAATATTGTATTACTCTTCCCGTATTTATTCTATTCTTTTTACTCCATCTTATAAAAATCTTTAATCATCTCAAAATATACCTTTTATTCTTCTTAGCAATGTTGTTTAAATTATAGTTTAATCTATACTCGTCTAACTTCTCTTCATCCATTATAATATTCTTTTTCAGTATGTCTAATGGCGGTGCATTTCCAAGCTCTATCTAAGTTAGGAAGTCTAATCCCTTCTTTTACAATTCCTTATGAAATGCCTTCTCTTTCAATATTCTTTCTTATTATTCATTCAATTCAAATTTCTTCGAATTGATATCTCTAAGTTTTTCAGCTGTTTCTAATTTTTTTTTTTCCTTTTCTTATTGAACTTTTTATTGAACTTCCTCATAAATACGATCTCTTTGTCTTTGTTCTTCTTCTCTGTCATCCAATATTGCATTCGATAATAACACCTTATCTCTCTCACTTATCAACTATTAAGGTATTCCCCTTCTATTTAATGCATTTTCTAGCATTTTCTTGGAATTTATATCCTTCTTCTCCGCCACCTCCCTTATAGCTGCCAATTCTAATTATATTTTTTCATATTCCTCATTCTTCTTCTTCTATGCCTCAATCAATTTTTCCATCTCTATTTTCTTTCTCACTATTTTTTCTACATCAAATTCTTTAGCCAATAAAAATTACTCTTTCAATTTATCAACTTCATCTTTGTAATCTTATTCAATTCTCCTCTTTAAAGCTATCAATTTGTGTTTTTCTTCATATTCATCAAAAGATGGCTAATTAATTAATTCCTCTAATTTTGTTGCTAATCTCTTCTGTTCTTCTTCAATTTTTTACAATTTTCTCTTTTAAATCACTTGTTCCTGATATTCAGCCTCCTATTTCATCTATTGCCATTATTTATTTAAGTTTTAAGCCTTCATTAATTCTTCATAATCAGCATTCAGCTCCTCCTCTTAGGGAACTTAATATAATTACTACTTAATATCCTTTTAAATTTCGCTCTCTTTTTGATTTGACATTATTAATAACGCAGTATCTGCAAATCTTGATGGAGGTCTTTTTTTGGACATAAAAATTTTATTCCCTATTTTTATTATAAAAGTACTAAAAAAATATATCCACACAATTTTGATATATGAACAGCTAAGATTTAATGATTCAGCTGCAAATTTATTTACAAACATATTTTGCTCTAGAAAATTCATTCATAACTAATAAATCAATATTAAAAAAATAAAGAACCCAAAATCTTAACCATTGATTTTTTAATCTACAAATAAGTTTTGGTTTTTAATTGAATTTAAGCAAGTCTATTAAAAGTTTAGTTGGCCTTCCAAAATTATCCAAATTGGATATAACTCTATTTTTAGGAAACCAAAATAACTAGCTAATTTTAAGGTAATTTAATTCATATGACACTAGTATTAATCAAGGCTATTTCAATAAAAATTAGCATTCTTTAGTGTCCAAGTCATTTTGTCCAATTATATAACATTCTGTATTTATAGAAATCATTAAACAAAAAATCAATTTTAATTGATTTCAGGCATATATTTTAATAATTATTTATTAAATTGATTAGAAGAAGATGGTATATATGTTCGATTACGACTTAGGATGGCGAAGATGAAATGCAGAAATAGGCAAGATTAATGGCTGAGAAATATAAGGATGGTCCCAAAAAGAAAGGAGCTTTAGTGAAAAAAACTTAAGAAGTACTTCTTTAATAATTACACATTAGAGAACATAATTTGATTCGGCTACGCATGAAATGTAAAAATAAGCATAGTAACATCCTCCTAAATGATGATTCAATTATTAATACAACATTATTTAATGATTTAATCTCTTTTCTATAAGCCTCTTTATAATTTAAGATTGTTCTAGGTGATCACAAAAATTAAAGTTTAAATTTTAAGAAAATCACTTTGGAAATTTTGACTTCATTGATGTTATCAAACAGGCTATTTCTGATTTAATATTATCAAAATAACCAAATTTTCTGTTTTGAAACAATAAACGAATAAATTGATGCAATCCATGTTATATTTACTCTAAATATTCTCCTAATTATTTGTTCAATCTACATAAGAGCTAATAGATTTTGGAAGAAAATATAGAGGTATACTAATTTATAAACTAGTTTCTTAAAAAACCTCATAAGAGCGTTTAGATTTCTAGGACAAAACTTATTTTTGGAGCACCTTCATATTGACATCTTTATTTAAGTACTTAAAAATTGGAATAATTTTCAGTTAAGGTTCAACATTTATCAATAACAATTAAATATATTTGTATGATGACTCTTTGTAGTTCATTGCATTTTTAATAATTAATCAAAATATTGTTTGATTGAAAATTTGAAATAATATGTTAATAACCACAACATAAATATATTCTAGTTTATACAAAAGAATTGAATTAATTGTAGACTCATTTATAATTAGATATTTCAAACAAATTTTGATTAATACATCAATCATAATGAGCCATTCTAGAATAGAAGTTTCCTTCTTATTTTTTAGTTGGGTGGAAGCACAAACACAATACGCATGTTATGCATAATATCATTATGAAACAAACACTAACAGCTACGGCACCAATATAGACACAAATATCTTTTGCATATCCTGTTATTGCCCCATAACAGTGATCCCTAATGGTTTGATAAAAAATAATTACTTTGGAGTTCCTGCATTTACATCTGAAAAAATGTAAATTGATGAAGGAAAACACCATCCTGAACATGAAAATTATTCTTCGATAGACTTTAAATATTCTGCCTCTTCATCGTAGTCTGATTTATAATCATTATATTATTAGCATTATTGTATTCTTATAGGCTACATAGTATAAATTTCATACTAAATCTGAATTAGAACTTGAATAAAATTGAACAGATTCAGATGTGCTTTCTGTCATGCTTCCAGTGTAATAACATTGACAACCAGGAGCATTTTTGTAAATTGTTTTACAAAATACTTCCTCAGCTTCAGCATACACATTATTCAAAGTAGCAGATCCAGTAAAGTATTCTGATTATAAGCATTATTCATCTTTAAATATATAAAGTATTAAACCTGAAAAAATATCTATCCAATGAGCTGACTATCCAAGACTAAATCCAAGAATCGCAAGACCCAGAAAAGCTATTGCAAGTATGAAATTTCCAATATTAAAACAAAATAACAGTGTTCCAATTCTTTTCCATCCTCCTACTATTCCGCAAATTCCAAAAAGTATTAATATACTACTGAATATGTATAATGCTATTAATATTCCATCTGACGGTTTAGACTTAACTTATAATATATTTATACATTTGTAAATTCATCTAAATAGTCTAAGTATTATCTCTGATCGACATTTATGACGATTGTTCCAATTAATGAAGATACTCCAACAATTAGTATTACCCATGCTTAGAACTACACAGAAAACTTTAAACAACCCAAAGGTAAGCACATTTTATTAATTAATTTAATGTAACATCTAAATCATTTCTTAATTTATATTTCCATTTTATGTTAAATTGTTAATAATTAGAAAAAATCTACAATTTATACAATTTTTTAATTATAAAAAATCATCATACAATCTTCATATAACCATGGAAGAAAGTGATTTTCAGTTTATTTCTGCCAATTATGACTATCTGAGATAATCAAAAATGCTTCAACTGATTTGAAAATAAATTTCGCACTGTTAAAATGAGCTCGAAGTAATTGCATTAATAATTTTATTCAGAAAATCAAAGATACAATACTAGTCTATTGTTATTTTATTGTCATCCAATTATTATGTATCTATTGAGTAGATCAAAGACTTAATAATGCTTTATTGTGAGAAATTTTGAATTTCTTAAAAATTATATTAAGTGTTTACCAAAGAATATTGATTGATTAAATAAAAATAAATTGACTTGTAAATAAACTATAATTTTCTATAATCAAATGTATAGATTTTTGAACTAAATACGATGAAAATTAAATGTCTATTAATGTGTTTATTTAAAGAATATAATTATTTGATAATAATATTAATTTATAAATATTAATAATAGCTATATATAATATTAAAAACTATTAAATTGTAATCTGAAATTTGTTAGAGGTAACATAATTAATTTGATTAAAATACATTTAACTATATTACGGATCTTATCTTCTTGCTTAAATTCGAGAAAGAAAATGGGAGTTGTGATTGGGTTCATTTCTAGTTTTCATGGCATATTTCTTTCGAATGCCACAATTTAGTGGCAATAGCAATAGAAGGTAATTGATAAAGGAAAATAACAAAGTACTTTAATCCAAAAAATTTATCACAAATTGTCAATCGCTTATTAAAGTTGGTATGATTACTCCTTTAGTTTTTTTACCCAACATAGATGGAGCATGAAATATTAATATTTTCTTTCCTTACTTAACATTATCAATATAAAGCAATTTAATTCTCATAAAGAAGGGAAAAGGTTTATGTATGATTAGTTAAGAAATATAAAAAATTTAATATAATATTAATTTGTTACATGACATTTATTGAATTTTTTTACCACAATGCAAGTGTTGCTGTGTTGAATCAAGAAGCCTTATCTTATGTTAGAAATGATGAACCCATTGGAATTTTGATAGACATGTGGTAATTAATAATTTTGGTTATGAATAATAAGGACACATTATTTATAAATTCAAGTAAACTTGTTGTTATCATTAAAGAATTTGAATTTAAAGACAAGTCAATGTATAATAATTAAGATAATGAAATAATTCTAAATTTTTTTCAAATATATGATTATTCAGTGTCTCAAAGTTATATTGAAAATTAGTTTGATTATAACAGGTCAGTTTATGATTTATCACCTATCATCGTTTCAGGTATTGGATAATTATTATAAAGAAAATTATTTATTTGTATTTTTGGACAATTTTTGGCCTGTAGCACTTAAAATTTTAATACAAATATTTATTTATTTTGCTTATTTGATATTGCCATGGATATTGATTAATTTAAACTTTATTGCGTTTTTCATACTTGATTATGTCGAAGATAAGCCATATTATTTTAAAATAAAAGAGTCATTTATTTGGTTTGGAGGATAGAGTAGACCTGAAACAGATAATATTTGTAAGCAGGTCTATCGATTTGTTTTTGCTATGGTAAGTTTCTTAATAGTTATAATTTTATTTTCGGATTTCATTTATCTTATAATTAATTCATTGGCAAAATCAAATTTTAATACAATCTAAGATATGAAAGATATCAATGCAATTGCTTGTTATTTTGAATAGGACTAATTCCTTCAAAATCTTTTTGATAGGGATAGAGGGTTGTAAAAAAAGGTTGGTGATAGTTAATTATAATGCATGTAAATGCTAAATGAATAAATTGTTGATGTTGTAATCATGAGTGAATTTAATTTATTAATATTTTTAGAATAGCATAAAATGTATTTGAGTAAGTTAAGATATTAAGTGAAATTAAATACTAATATTGCTCATCATATTCTGATAAATAAAAATGATCCCCCATGGTTTAGGAAAGAATTAAATGATGCAATTGATGTAATATAAAAGCAAAAACTAGATTTAATGATTAAGGAAAAGCATTTACCCACTAAAATATATAACTCCAAAAATAAATCAATAATGCCTTATTAGCCAACTCTTCAATTGATTTGTGCCATACTATCCATTTTATTTATTATTGTAATTTAAATCACTCTGGTGCTTTAAGAATTTAATGTATTCAAGAATAAAATAAAAATTAAATACTTCTCCGAAAAGGTTGGACCTAAAATTAAATAAAATTGATTATAAATACTAGTAAGATATAATTAGAATATAAATATCTTTGTAATATAAATTTTAGCTCTCTATAGTTATTTCATTTCAACACATCAACAAAAAGTTTTATTTCATTAGATTTTTCATTTTATAAATTGTTTGATAAAAAAATCTTAGCTATGATGTATCTTCTAGATTCTTTCACTCTTACTTTCAATACCTAAAAAATAAAAAATTTCTGAAATTGTAGATTAATTGTTATAATAAAAATAATAACAATTTATTAATCATTTTTACAAATGAATGCAAATTTATTGCAATGGGAATAATAAATAGAAAAATCAAGGTTGAGTAATTAACAATTAGACTTTTGCTAGTATTTTACTTTAAGTTATATTTATGAAAATGAGCCAGAATCATTTTTGGGAAGATGCAGATTAATATAAAATGGAAATATTTATATTTATTTGGATAGAAGATCTAAAAACTATAAATAATTATCATAAAATGTATCCTTGTTATGGCATTTTCCATTATCAAAAGAAATCTATTAGATCAAAGCTTAACAAAATTCTTTGATTGAAAATATTGAAAACCACTGGAGTTTGATTGATAAGGAAGAAAAAAAAAATTTTCATACTAAATTTCCTGATTAAGTTTTAGATTAAATTGCTGAAAAATAACTAACAGACATTGAAAAATTTAATATGCAAGATAAAAACAATTTATCTGAAAATTTTAAAGTGATAAAAATTTCTCCATTTGATATTATTTAAACAAAATAGACAATGCCTTAAGTAATTGCAGATTCGAGAACTAAGTTTGAATCTATTTTTAGACCATATAAGGAAGAACAAAAGATTCATTATTATTTCAAAGAAAATTAATGGTTTTCTAATCAAATAATTTGAGTATAATAAATTAAATTATAATAATATGTAAAATAATATCAATAATAACAATAATAATCTTAACTTTGAATTTAGTAAGGATACTAACAATCTCAATAAGAAATTGTAAGGATTTTATAGATAAAAAGATCAAAAATTTGACCATTTCTTTGATGAGCTGACTACAGAATACAAATTATTTAAAGTACTATAGGCTATACCTTTATTTATTAGAAATTGACGCATGAATGTTAAATGGGTTGTTTTGGCACTGCAGATTTCAATCGAAAATAATCTGATGCTTGCGCCAGATAATGTTTAGATCCATATTTATATATTAGAAAATCGATAGGAGATAAAATAGGATAATGTGATGTATTTTTATCTCTATCTCTAGCATTAATTTTAATAATAAGAATCAAAATGCATGAGCTCGACTGATATGGATTGTAATAATTTATAACATTATTTAAGAATGCTATTCCAATTTAGTTAGTTAATTAGGAGTTTGTCTTTAATAACATACCTAATTTGCTAAAGATTAGTACAAAAGTGTGTTGTAACATTTCTTAAAAAAATGAAAACGTATAAATAAGTATATTAAAATATTTGTGAAAAATTAAGATCAATTTTTAAATCTACAAGCCTTATTTTTTTTTTTGGAATTTTGAGTTTATTATTCAAAAATCCTTTTCCTTGTTAATATATTAATTACAGGAGATTATCTTAATATTTATTATTAAGCTAATGAACATTATTATTGTTTATAATTATCTAAATGTGATTAGGAAATTCTAAATTTAATGGAATCCTAGTAGTTTGGACGAAAAAGGTTAATTTTATCGCTAAATGAATAAAGATCCTTCACTTTGGAATTTTAAGAGAAACTTCTAACTTTATATTTTTGGTTTTAAGAGAAAAATGAGCTGCATGTCTTGTTGCAATCAAATTAATCAGTTTTTATTATATTGACAGGTGGAGATTGATTATTTTGAAAAGTCAAGTCTTATTTGATTTGCAATAATTTAAGATGTTTTTCATATTCAGTTGTGTCTAGATCGACAGCCCAATTCAAAGATTTCTTAATATGAGTATTCTATTACATTAATTATTAGTATAATTTTTCCATGTTTTATTATTTGCTTTAAAAATAAAGAATTTAATCTTCTTGCATTCTACTTATATGATTAGTTATATACTTGTCTATTAAAAGTAAATCATAAAGCTTAAAATAAGTTTTTTTATAATATTAGCTGAGATTTTTATTGTTGTTGATATTGATTTACCATTCAGGTTAAGGGCTATTTCTTTGTAACAATAATTGAGTTATGGACCCCTATTATGATTGTTATAAAGATTGGATGTTCTAGGAGCCATAATCTTAACTATGAATCTTTATAACGATAGAACATAATACTCACTCGCTTAACTATATCATCATTGGTTAGTTTCCTATGGGCAATTTCTAATTACAATTTGCATTCAGTGAATATGGACTGAATAATTGATATAAAAACTCCCTATTTGCCATCATACATGTTTGATAAACTATTATAAATAGTTGGTTGAAATGTTGATGCTTTTGATCTAAATATTGACTTTTTAGCTAACAATACTTAATAAGCTTCAGCAAGTCTGGCAATAAATCGATGTAATAATCTATTCAATGATGATAGGGTATACTTAGCTTCATTTTCATTATTTAATTATTTATTGTGAAAACATTTTAGAAATTTTCTCTCAGTGTTATCATAATATAAGTATTACTATGTTAACTCTTCACTATCCTTATTAGGTAGCGAATCTAAATTAAATAGTTCTTTGAATAATAGATTTAGAGTTTCCTGATCTAGCTACATTTTATACCTACTATATATTAAGGTTATTAATTCAATATAATTTACAATAAACAATATTAATATAATTATATAAATACAGTTATGAAATAAGATTAAAATTAACAATAGCCTGTGGCTAAAAAGAAATCAGTTCCCTTCTCCAAAAAGCTTAAAAGAGCAAAGAGGCATTTCATTAAATTTTTAAATAGCCCAAGTACTATTTAGGGCTTCTATTTTTGCATCTAAACAATGTTTAATTATATTGGAATTGCATCGTTATTGCTTCTAATATATTACTTCCTTTACTAAAGGTATTTATTTATTAGTCTATATAGTTTTATCTATTTCATAATAGTATCATCAATACTATCTCTATTCTATGTGACTTACTAAGGAGTGAATATCATTCATTACAAAACAATAGGTGATATACAAAATTTTGATGATACAATGTAAGAATCATAAAAGGATGCCTAAAATGAAACAAAAGGATGTAAATATTATTGTAAAATGCTTGGAATAACAATTGCTTCACTCTTACTTTTAGACCTTCCAATACTGAATTTTTAAATCACTAAACAAGTTAAATTAATTGAAGATTAATTGCAATTAGAAGATGAGCGATATACAAAAAAGAAAAAACAAGCCAACAAAGTTTAAGATAAGTAACCATAAATTGATGTGAAACAATTAACTGCTGATTATGCTATTAAAATTGCTTCCTTAAGAACCTAAAAAAAATAACGATAGTGGTTAATTCCCTATAAATTTGGATTCTCTGCTATATTTGGATATATACCTGCAATTTTTGTGATGGCTGTTTGGCTAATAGGCAATCAATAATAAATTGATGTTTTTGGTAAACTGTAGAACATAATTCTCACAACAAGTTATGGATGCATGGTGTTCGCAAGTGTTATCTGTTTATATGAGATTTAATTTTTTGATAAATCAGCTTCTACCCTTAAAGAGTAAATTTTATAGTATAATTAATAGTGCTTTTAAGTGGTTTTTATGTAGATATGTAGAATTACTATGCAAATCTTTATTAATAGGCTATTATATCAAGTTTAGCGAATTTGAAACTATACCCCTTTTAATAATTGGAGTAGGATATTTAATCTATAGTATTTCATGCACATTTTTATTTACTTTATTTGATTATTAAAAAAGCGAGGAGGTCAATTCATCATAGCAATAATCTGTTGAAAGACAAGATGATGAAAAACAAGATGGTAAAATATAGGAAAATTAAGAACAGCCTATAGAGAAAGGAGTTTTGTATGTAATTAAAAGTTATATAAAATCATTATTCTTGAATATCTATGCAAGAACTTTATTTTTACCTTATAAAGAAAGTGCATTAGGAATGAAAACACTCTCTTTTTATTAAGTAACCTTTGGAATAGACAAAAAAATGATTCGGGAAGAGGTGGCAAGTGATGGATGGAAAAATTGGATGATTACTTATGATCAATCTAAGAAATTTGGTCTTCCCAGAAGATCTTATACACACATAGTATAATCATTAAGATTTTTTGAATTGTTCCACTTAGCTTTATTTTCGATATGTTAAAACATCATCTAAGGTTAATATCTTGAAATTGTGGAACCAAAGAAAGTATCATTATATTATTCAGGCAAAATTGTAACTGTTGCTAGCATAGTTATCTTATTGTTTTATTATCTTAGAGCAGGATATAGAACCATTCATGAAAAATAATTAGATATCACAGGAATTGATGAATGATATTATTCAATAAATAAATAATTTTAAATCAATTAATGTCTACATTTTATCACTATTCTAAATTCAATAAAATAAAAACAAATTATTATGAGTTTGGATTCTTCTTAAAAATGCGATGAAGAAACTGGTTTAAAATCTATGGCCCCTGAACCTCTAGAGCTCGATGAAAGTTATCAAACTCCTGTCGATATTAGATGGGGAAATTGCTACCCATTATTTTTAAAAAACAATATACCAAAAATTGTCATTGGCCCTCATTGTAATATTTTACTAATATTATAAAATAGGGCCATTGTTTATTTGTGCATATTCTTTATTTGTTGCAGCAAGTATCTTTTTAATAGGTTGGCATTTTACAAGCACTTCATCTGAATTCATCAAGTGGGCAACTTTTTTAGTCTGTGTAAATCAATGTTGGAGTTATGCTTGGGTTGCTTTAATTAATCCAGGAGTAATTAATTATGATAAAAATAATTAAATTGAAACTAGGACAAGATGTGCACCATAATTAGACATGTAAAATGATAGTAAGACTTGGTATTGTCCCAAATGTAAATTGTTACAATTACATGGTACAGTGCATTGTAGTGATTGTGATGTATGCATTTAGGAGATGGATCATCATTGTCCATGGACTGGAAAATGTATAGGAAAAGGAAATATCAAACAATTTTATTATTTTCTTGCTAGTACTTTAATATTTATGATTTTCAATATAATCGCTTCATTAACGTAGCTAGATGGAGCATTAAATGGAACAAGAAGGAAAATTAAATAAGGAAATTGAAGAAATTTAATATATTGTTAATTTATTGATTTGATTTAAACTCAATTTTCTATATATAATTGGAAAAATCCAATAAAATCTAATTATTATTTTTGCAAATAATATTATTAAAATCAATTTAATTACAGAAATCGAAATAATTACGGATTAAGGAAATAAATGATTAAAGCAATCTTGTAGATGCTATATCGTAATTAAAACAACTAAATCAACGAAAACCTAGAATTAAATTAATAATCCTAAATATATTTTTGATTTATTATTTGATCACTGACTGTTGAATTTCAGATATTTCATAAAAAGAACAAATTTAATATATTTAGATTTATTGAAATACAAAATAGTGATATTGAATAGTGCATAATATCAATCAACAAATCTAACAATTTTTTTAACTTTCTAAGGTTATTTTTTTAGAGGCATTACACAATCTTCGGTGTACAGGATTCCTTCAATATATTAATATACATTGGCATTCTAATTAGTTTTAATATAGAGATTACTAGAAGTTCTTTAATCGATTAAGTAACACACTGTTTCATTGGCAAGACTGTTTTTGGTGATTGACAAGTTTGAAGAGATGGTAATCGAGAGGAAATGTTGGTATATTTCTTAGGTTAATATTTATCGAGTATATTTTAGGATTTAAAGAACAATTTCTTTAACTTATAGGCTTCCTCCTTTGTAATTTTACTCATTTTAATATTTATTTTATAATTGATCATTCACAGAATTACAATTATATAGGATTCTCTATTTTTAAATAATCTTGAATTGACATTGCAACACTGTGTGTTCTAAGTCCACAATTGAAATTGATCTAATCTCCTTGTGTTATTAATGATGGGTCCAAATAAGTTTGAACTTTGAATATACTTCCGAAAGGAGGGACTGCACCAGTGACACACTTAGTAACTTCATAGACTTATTGTTCATTAGCTAAATCCAGTTATTTACAATCTAGGAGCTTTCTTATTAATTTCCAAGATAATTTCTTGGAAGCAGACATTACACATAATATAAAAAGTTAAGTTTTTTTGTTTTATAATAACATTGCTTTTGCTCCACTATCTAAGGAGACTCCTCTCACCTTGGCTGATTCTTCCGATGTCTTAGTAGGTTCATGAATCAATAATTTGAATTGGATATTATTAGTATTCAATAATTATTGGATAGCTTCGAAAGTCTATGTATTTTCTTACATATTTATTAAAATAATCTGTATGAAATAACTCAAAATTAATAATCAGTTCGTCACTTAAAAGAAGATATCGTCAGGGTCTTTTGGAATAGTAATGTAAGGAATTGATTAAAAAAATGGAAATCAAGTGGCTATAAAAATAGAGAGGCCAGAAAATGAGCATTTGCGATCACTTGAAAGAGAAGTTGAAATTTTGTCAAGATTATCAAATGTTAGAGGAGTGCCTTAAATGTTATATTATGGTTGGGAGGATTCTTACAATGTTATCGTCATGGAAATGTTATAAAAAGATTTATCCTCAATCCTAAAGTAAAGGAAAAAGTTGAGTTTAAAATCTGTTTTCTAACTATCAATAGAACTGGTTTTAATATTAGAAGAAATACATAAATAAGGTGTACTTCATCGAGACTTGAAACCAGAGAATATGATGTTGGATGAAAAAAATAAGGTGTATTTGATCGATTTTGGGATTAGTAAAATTTATATTCGCAAAAATGGGATTTTAATGTATTGTCTTAAATTATGCCAAAAAAGCCCTTTTAAAGACAGAGTGCCATTCGTGGGTACTTCCAGATATGCATCAATAGCAGCGCATAAAGGATATGAATTAGGAAGAAAGGATGATTTGGAATCGTTGTTTTATGTTATGCTCTACTGTCTCAAAGGGTATCAGCTTGTGAATAGTATTAGTTTAGTACTTTACCATGGCAAAACCTAAAGCATGTACCTGATGATTAAAGGACATAAAAAATAGGAGAGATTAAAGAAACTATCGAAGTGAAAGAACTATTCAAAGATTTACCTAATGAATTTATTAAAATATATGAGTAATACTTTTCAATAATTATTAGGTATTTAAGGAAGTTAACTTATGCATCTGAACCAGACTATAAGACCATTGTGAAATTGATTTAATAAGCAGCTAAACATTCTAATATTTTCTTGGATTATAAATACGAGTGGGATGCACAATTGAATAACTATGACAAAAATATGAATAGGTATGGAACATTGCAAACTGATGAACTCCCACTGAAGCAATTTGAAAAATTTTCATCCAACTTGCTTAATTGCAATAACTTAGCTGCATAGACTCCATCTAAATTTTAATAATTATAGCCTCCGATAAATAAATAAGAATCTAATTAGAATAGCAATAGCAATTGCGGCAGTGGCAATCAGAATTTAAGCATATACAATTCTATGGGAATTATTTATTAGAGATCTATTGACGAAATTAGCGAAGAGCTTTAAGAACCGATTCCAGATGAAGTGAAAAGTCAGAACAAAATTTGTTTAAAGACGTTGCCTGATACATTGAAAAAACCTGGGACATTCTTTAAGACAACTTAATTTGATGAAGACGAATAACTTAAAGAAGATCACTTTTTGTCAGAGAAATATCATAGTTTAAGTGCTTAAGTAACTACTATTTTACAAAATCATAAAAAATGACTTCCCATTAATATTAATTTTGTAATTTATTTTATAAACTTGTATTAATATGTTAAGAGTAGAGAATTCCTTGAATTTAATATTTATTTTATTATTTCATGGACCCGGCAAAATAATATTTAGTTAATTGTGTTTAGGCCCTTCTTAATTTACCTCAAACTCCTCAAGGATTGGCATCGGGGCAAACATTAGATAAATTTATGATTGGGCAGGAGAAAAAATGTTTGATTCTTTAATACATGCAAGGATAAGGATTAAAATTGTTTAACCCTGGTAAAGTTGGTAATATGAAATGCCATATTTAGATGAATTGAATCCACAAACTAAATTGATTGCCATAAGTAAGATTGATACGGATGTAATAACTGAGGATAATTATTTCACTAATCTTACAGTCTAATTATTATCACCTAATGTGGTAACAGAATTAAGTTCACATTTATCTTTGATATATTAACCATTGATGGGAGCTGGGGTTGATGAAAAAATTAAAAAAAAGTTATCAGGATTCAAGTAATCAAATTTGATTTAAATTATAGGCAGGTGTTATAAGGACTTTAAGATAATGATATCGACAATGTATAAATAGAATAGAGAAATGTAAGTCGACCAATTGATGAAATAGAATAATGGTTGAGAATTTCATAATCTGCAACAAGTTCAGAAAGTTAATAAAGAGCTGCCAATCAAATTTGTCAGGTCTACTAAAAGGTTACTTAATTATGGAAAGATGTTAAATAATTAGAGATAAATAAATTTTCTGATTTATTGGATCAAACTTTGGTTTGTCTTGATGAGCTATACACTTAACAGTTATATAATGAATAGAAATTGCAAGGAATGTTATCTTCTATGTACAATTAAATTATAATCAAATTGCAACATCTAATACCCTAAGGGCAATAAATATTTAGCAATACTCAATAACAAAAACTTTTATTATTGGAATGTCAGAAAATGGTTAGGATGTTTGGAGAAAATCTAAGGAAATACTTTGAATATGATTGGAAAATTAACCCTAATTTGCAAGAGTTTGAATAAATTGAGAAGAGATTGAGTGATCTAATTGAATTGCGAAGTATTTATGAAGAACTGAAGAGAAGCGATATTGATTAAGATTTCTTTAAGGAATTATTTGAAGTCAATCCATTTATGTCAATAGGTTAGGATTCTTTGTTTAATGTTGCCTACAAAAAAGTACTTAATAACTTAGAGAGTGCTGAATAAGATATCCTAAATCTCTTAAGGCAATAGGTGTTTAAATAGCAAGTCATGAAGGAAAATCCACTGTAAACTATTCGAGAGATGCAAAGATGGACTGGATTACTATCTAGAAACTCTATTTAGAAGCACTTTTTAACAGAACGTGATTCATTGATTACTTCAATAACAAATATGATTTCAAAAATTGAATAGGAGTTTAATACTAGATCTGGAGCTGCCTTTCTTGATGATGGAGAGGAGGAGAAATTACCTTATTAGATTGGGTTCTCTAAAAATATTCATTAAATTGTATGGTGTAAATCATTGATTGGAAAAGTGAAGAGAATCATTTAATTAATTTAATAATTATTTAGTGATATTAAGAAATCTGCTTAATTTATAGTTATGTGTTAAAATCTTATAAAATAAGTTTAATAATTTGAATAGGAATTATTTGATTAGTGGAGAAAAGAAATTGATTCGTAGTTAAAGAAGAATGAAATATCATTACAGATTTCAGGAAAGTTGATGGAAATTGATATGTAGGATGGTTTAGTCAGAGTTAATTATTCTGATAAATTAGTTTAATTAATAAAGGAAGTGAGACAATTATGTGAGCTTGGTTATAGAAAAAGTATATCGAATGAAATTCATACAATTGTAGAAACAGGCAAAAGATTTTATAAGGAAGCTCTAACTTTGAAATCTATAGCTAGCTTCTATAATTAAATGTCAGACTAAATTATTGAATGTTAAAAACCAATGCTAGTTAATTAGGCTGTAAGATTTGAAGACACTGTTAAGAATTCAAAAAAGAAAAATAGTATTACGTGGGAAAATACATAAGAATTAGAAAATTATGTTTAGAAAGTTTAAGAATCAGCAAATGATATAATGCAAGAAAATAAAAGATTAAGAAAAAACCATTAATAGATAATTGATAATATTTGTTTGTTGTTTTAGATTGAATTGAAATAAAAGAATTCTATGGAAGGAAAAGGTGGATCAAATAAAGAAAGTAATAGAATAGACTTGTAATAGCATTGACGGTAAATTCACAGTTGGATGGAGAACTCATATTGATTTCTAATTATACAAAGCGTTAGAGTTTTAGTATAAGAAAGGATTCTAAGAAATGGATCATGCTATTAATGAAATTTAAGCAGATCTTATTATAAAGAATGGCTAGGTTGCATATAAGCCAACTATTGAAGAATTAAGAGAGAAATACTACAATGAATTGAAAAAATATATATAATATCCTTCATAATTTATAGGGGTAGGAGGGAATAATGATATTTACATGTAGATGCCTGAGAGAAATGCTGTGTTTGTTATATAAGTATACGAGAAAAGTGAACAGATCTTTGAAAAATTAATTGGTTTAAGTAGTCAATATATGTGTTGGTCAGTTGTTGCATAGTTGGATGCTGAATAATTACAATTATAATTGGGTAATTTGGAATAATGGGAGAATTTCATGAAAGAAGTTAGACAAAGAAGAAAAGAATTAGAAAAAATTAATGATTATTAAAAGATTGAGTGCTTTAACATTAATATCAGTTTATTTAAGTAATAAGTTGATGAATTGCTGACCAAATTAGTGGATAATATGTTGAATGAATTGAAAAATTAAATTAAAAATAATATAGTTGAAATTGAACAATTTTTAAGTGAAACTCAATAGAAATTGTCATAAAAGCCATAAAATATGAATGAGATGAATGAAGCATAAAAGAAATATGTTGATATCAAAGCATAGAAATTTGAAATGACTTAGAAAATGCAAGATTGCCAATAAAAACAAAAATTAATCAATTCTTTGAGTTCATAATCTCAAGCCTAGAATCCAATCTTACTACAATTGTAATAAATAAATAAGAACTGGGAGAATTTTGAACTACTGATAGGAGATTTCGATTCAATTTTAGCTGAGTAGACTAAACAATTAAAAAAGGATATGTAGGCAAGAGCGAAGGAGGTAGATAGTGATATTGAGAAGTTTTATTCAAGATATTCTGCTGTAAAACCAAAATAATTGAGTGAATTAGATAGATCATCAGCAAATGATCTAGCCGAGAATATGTAGCAATGGAGATAATAATGGAAACAATTGGATGAAAAGATTTAGACTCTTATTAAGGATCATTAACACTTTGAAATGGAAGTTCCAACATTTACTTAATATGATAAGGTTAAGGTTGAAATGACAGACTCAGAAGTAGTATGGAGTTATTATGATAAATTCTAATAGAATATTAATAATCTAGGCAAAGAGGATTGGTTGAGTTTCAGAACTAAATTATATATGTTTTAAGAGTTATTGTTACAAGAATAGGAATAAATAAAAGCAGAATTGGCCAAAGGAACGTTCACTAAAAAAGAGGCAATCATAAATTACATCTTTTCTTAGATTGAGTTATATCTCAAAATAAATCCATTATTAAAACTAATTGTTGGAGATGCATTCGAACCTGAACATTGGACTAGTTTGTTTATGATTCTTAAGTTAAAAGAAATGAAAAAAGAAAAGTTGCTATTCAAGGACTTACTTAATTGTGATAAATTAGTATTGGACAAACAAAATGATATTCGAGAATTGTAAGCAAGAGCATAAGGGGAAATTACTTTGAGAGAAGCAATCTTTGAATTGAAAACATGGTGTGATACTTCAGAATTCGATTTGACTGATTACACTAATAATAACAGGGTTACTCCCTTAATTAAAGAATGGAAAGAATTAATGACAAAAGTTAGTGATAACCAATCCTTATTGGCATCCTTAAAGGAATCCAAATTTATTAATAGATTTAAAGATTAAGTTGATTAATTTGAATTGAAATTGGGTGGTATTGATGAATATTTATCCAAATTATAAATTATTCAAAGAAAATGGGTTTATCTTGAACCTATTTTTGTTAGGGGAGCACTACCTTAAGAATAGGCAAGATTCAGGAGACTAGATGAGGACTTCAGAAATATAATGTTGGGAATCCAAAGAGATTAAAAGGTGGTTTCTTTGTGTAGTATTCCAGGAATCAAGGATACATTGGATACAGTTTTGGATCAATTAGAAAGATGTTAAAAGGCTTTGAATGATTTCTTAGAGGAGAAAAGAGGTAAGTTTCCACGTTTCTACTTTTTGGGTGATGATGATCTATTAGAAATATTGGGCCAATCTTAAAATCCTCAAGTAATTTAGATGCATCTCAAGAAATTATTTGCAGGAATAAACTCTGTAGAATTCAGTAAGGATAATACTTAGATTTATTCTATGTTATCATCCTAAAAGGAATAAGTTCAATTTAATAATTCTATTTAAGTAAATGAGATAGTAGAGAGTTGGTTGTCAGTATTATCTTTTCAAATATGAAAGAGACTTTAAGTCAATTGTTGAAATAATGCTTAAAAGAGTAGAAACATGGATTTCAATAAATTCCCATCTTAGATTCTTTGCTTATCAGAAGAGTAATTTATATATCAATATTAATAGAATTAAGTTCACTGAATAAGCAGTGTCAGCATTGAATTCTAATAAATTACCCTTAGTTCAAATAAACATAGTTAAAATTATTAGATTAATATACTCAATTGAATGCACAATCATCAAATAATTATCTATTACAATTAAAATTAAAATCATTAATTTTAGATCTTATTCATCATCTGGATATAATAAGTTAACTAATTGACAACAAGGTTTCAGTACTATCAGATTGGTATTGGTATAAATAATTAAAATATGAATATTAAAAAGATGCACAAATAATAATGTGCAAAGCAAGATTTGATTATACTTATGAATATCAAGGGAATGGATAAAAGTTAGTGCATACACCCCTTGACAGACAAATGCTATTTAACATTGACTTAAGGAATGTCCATGGGTTATGGAGGTAATCCTTATGGTCCTGCAGGTACAGGTAAGACTGAATCAGTAAAGGCACTTGGGTAGTTATTTGGAAGATAGGTGTTGGTATTTAATTGCGATGAAGGTATCGACTTTAAGAGTATGGGACGTATCTTCATGGGATTGGTTAAATGTGGAGCTTGGGGTTGTTTTGATGAATTCAATAGATTGTTGGAAGAATAATTATCAGCTATATCATAATAAATTCAAATTATTTAAAATGCTATTAAGGAGAACTCATAATCTATGACTTTGATGGGATAAACCTGTATGGTTAATAAAGATTCAGGCATATTTGTTACATTGAATCCAGCTGGTAAGAATTATGGAGGAAGATCTAAATTACCTGATAATTTAAAATAATTGTTTAGACCTGTGGCTATGTCAATTCCAGATAATGAATTGATTGCTGAAGTCTTATTGTATTCAGAAGGATTCAAGAATGCTAAGATTTTGGCAGAGAAAATTATCACAATATTCACATTATCAAGATAATTGTTAAGTCCATAGTAACATTATGATTGGGGGATTGAGAGCACTTAAAACAATATTGACAGTGGCTGGATAAATTATATAAGAAGAAAGAAAATAGGGAGTAGAAATTAATGAAACTATTGAATCAGAGTTGTTGATTAAATCTATTAGAATTAATACAATGTCAAAGTTGACATATCATGATACAAAGAAGTTTGTTTAATTAGTCTAGGATGTCTTCCCTAGCATAAATAGTTAGGATATAATATATGAGAAATTGACAAATGCAATAAAGGAAGTGTTATAAAGCATGAAATTGAGCGAAATTGATAATTAAATTGCAAAGATTCTTTAGTTTTATGAAGCAACTAAATAGAGGATGGGTGTAGTATTGGTAGGTCCATCTGGTTGTGGTAAGACTACAATATGGAAAGTTTTAAAGAAAGCTCATGAGAAATTAGGGTAATAAGTCAAAACTCATGTGATGAATCCTAAATCAATGCCTAGAAGTTAACTATTAGGAAATATGAATAATGACACAAGAGAATTTAGTGAGGGAGTATTAACAGCATCAGCTAGATTGGTAGTTAAGGAATCAGTGGATGTCTTAAATTGGATTATATGCGATGGAGACATTGATCCTGAATGGATTGAATCATTAAATTCAGTCTTGGACGATAATCATTTATTAACATTACCTACTGGTGAACGTATCTCATTTCAAAATAATGTTAATTTCATCTTTGAAACCTCTGATTTATAATATGCATCACCTGCTACTGTTAGTAGAATGGGAATGATATTTTTGAATAATGAAGATATCAGTATGTAATCTTTAGTTACTAGATGGATTAATAAATTAGAATGTGAAGAAGAAAAGAAAAGCATGTTATTAAATCAAATAGAATCAACTCTATACAATTTACTAGAGGAAATATTCTCTTACGAAGAATAATAGATTGTACCTACTACCAGAGTTGGTTTAATTATGAATATTTTATCCTAATTACAGAGAATACCAACGAATAAATAGCAATTCAATTACTTCCTATTATAAGGATTGACTTCCAATTTCCAACCAGAAATCAGGTTGAAATTCTAAACATTAATTAATTCTAATCTAGAATTAAATGAAAATGGAGACAAATATCAATACATTAATCAAAATATCGATGAATCATAATTCTCTGATGTTAATGATCCTCCTGTTATCAAAACTATTGGACATCAAAAAGATCTATAAATGTTACAATCTTGGATTCTCAATAATGATCCCTTCATTATTGTGGGAGAAGAGGGTTGTGGCAAGAATCTATTAATCTAAAGTGCCTTCAAAGAACTCAAAAAAACTATTAAAATTCAAATAGCCACAATCAATTGCAATGCATAAACAAGTGCATCTTAAATCATTCAAAAATTAAATTAAATTTGTGCAAAAGGTACTTCAGCCTTGGGTAGAGTCTATAAGCCTAAAGATTGTAGTCGTTTGATTCTTTATTTAAAGGATATCAACCTTCCTAAGCCTGATAAATATTAGACCATTCAACTCATTGCTTTCTTGTAACAATTAATTACTCACAGAGGTTTCTACGATGAAAATTTAGAATTCGTATATCTGGATGATAAAATCTAAATTGTTTCTTCAATGAATCCTCCTTCAACAATTGGAAGACATTAATTATCGACTAGATTTACTGCAAATGTTAGAATCTATTATATTGAATAACCTTCTAATGATGAATTACAATAGATTTATTAGGAATATCTTAAAATACTGATATTTAAAGATAATAATCAAAGTAAAAAAGGTGCTTAGTTGTTGATTGAATGTTACACACAAATCAAATCGAAATTCACAGTTGACGAACAAAGGCATTATCTCTTTACTCCAAGAACCATAACTTAAATAATTTTTGCTTTAAAAAGATATAATGATATATAATCAGTATTCCCAGAGGCTCTGCTTAATGAATTCAATAAAATATTTAGAGACAAATTGATCTCTCAAGATTAGTAATTTAAATTTGACTCAATGATTTTACCAATTTTTAAAAAATACTATAAAGACATTCAATCATAATAGTATTTCGCCACTGTTCAGAATCTCCAAACACTGTCGAAGATTGAAAAAAAGGATTTCATTTAATTGGTTTCTTAAGCTGTTCAAGTATACTCTCGAGAGAATAGAGAGTTAAATGTTGTGATGATTGAAGAAATACTATCTCTCTTGACATCCTTAAATAGAGCATTATCTTCATAGAGTTAAACAACACTCTTATTAGCTGGAAGAAATGGCATAGGTAGAAAGATGTGTTTGTAGATAATGTCTACGATGCTCAATTTAGAAGTACTTTAGCCGTACACATGCAGAGATTATGGAATCAGAGAATTTAAGAGAGATCTTAAATCATACATGGAAACAGCCTAAACTAAGAATTGTTTATTGATTTTAGAAGATCATGTGCTATTATAGTAAGGAGTCTTAGAAACTGTTAATTCCTTAATCTCAAGTGGAGAAATTCCAGGGTTGTTTGGTTATGAAGAAATAGATAGACTAATATAAAATCCAGAAGAAGTGAAGAGGGAATTTTATGGTAAAACACTTTATGAGGCATTTCATGAAAAAGTAAAGAGAAATATGAAGATTGCTTTGGTGATGGACAACTCTAATCACGAATTCTAAACTAATTGTGCATAAAATCCAGCTCTGTTCACAAATACTACAATTATATGGTAGACTTAATTATCCAAAGAGAGTTTGTTACAATTCATGAAAAAATAATTAGAATCTTCTAATAATAACAATACTGTTAATGAATAATTAATTAGTTATGCAGTTGAAATACATAGAAATTCAAAAGCTGATCCAAGAAGCTTTTAATCTTTGACTTAGACCTATAGTTTAATAATGGATACGAAGATGTAATCAAAAGGATCACAAGCAGATCACTTATAAAAAGGACTTGAGAAATTATAAGAAGCAAATAACTTAGTAAATAAGTTGACTTAAGAAGCCTAAGAAAAGAAAGTTTTGTTGTCTAAAAAGTAGTTGGAAGCAGATGATGCTTTATAAAAGATATCAAAAGCAATGTAAGATGCAGCTGAACGTCGATAAGAAACTGAATAATTATAAAGATATCTTTAAGAGGAAGAAGGCAAAATCAAAGTATCTAAAGATAAGGTTGAAGATGAACTGAGAGATGTTAATCCATTAGTATAAGAGGCACAGAATGCAGTCAAAGGAATATCGAAGTCACATTTAGATGAATTAAAATCGTTGGCTTAGCCTCCGCCTGCAATCTATGATGTGTTAGGTGCTGTTATGAAAGTTTTTAAGTAAACAGAAATAAATTGGAAAGCAATTAAGAAGTTTTTGGGTAATAAACAAGTAATTGATTAAATCATTGACTTTGATCCTCATATGATAACAGCTGATATCAGAAGAGATGTTGAAGAGGAAATTGCCAAACATTCAAATTCTTTTGAAAAATAAAACATTTATAGAGCTTCATTGGCAGCAGGACCATTAGCTGATTGGGTAAAAGCAATATTAAAATATGCTACAGTTTTAGAGAAGATTGCACCTTTAGAAAAAGAATTATAAATGATTAGTAAGAAATTGGATTCATCTAGAAATAGATTGAAATAATGTTAAGATGCATTAAATTAACTTGATTAGAAAGTCTAAGAATTAAAGAACAATTTTGCATCTAAAACAAGCGAGGCAGAATTACTTAAGAGAGATTTAGAAAAAGCAGAACAAACTGTGAGTCTGGCATCCAATTTATTAGATAAATTATCAGGAGAAAAGGTTAGATGGTAATAATAACATGATTTAATTGCTTAAGAATTAAAACAATTCCCATTAGATTCGTTATTATCTGCATCATATATTACATATTTGTCCTCTTAAGATGAAAATGTTAGATATAAAACTTTGCAAGAATGGATTCATTTGACAAAATTGTCATAATACGATTACTTAAAATTTATGTCTAATGAGAGTCAAATCTTGAAATGGAAAACACTAGGATTACCAGGTGATTAATTGAGTATAGAAAATTCAGTTATGGTATTCTCTTCCTCAAAGGTTTCATTATTAATTGATCCTAATACATAAGCCACTGAATGGTTGAAGAAAACATTATCATAGGCTGAAATATTAAATCAAACAGATCCTAAATTCAATAATCAACTAGAATTAGCAGTTAGGTTTGGTAAAACTATAGTGATCTAAGAAATTGATCAAATTGAAGGATTATTGATTCCATTATTAAGAAAAGATTTATTGCATTAAGGTCCTAGATGGGTGGTTATGATTGGAGAGAAGTCTGTCGATTTTAATGAAAGTTTTGTAATGTATTTAACAACCAGAAATTCTTCAATTCATCTGCCTCCACATACTGTATCTTTGGTATAGGTGATTAATTATACTGTCACTAGAAGTGGTTTGGAAGGCAAATTACTTAGTATTATCATTAATATTGAATAACCAGATTTAGAATAGAAGAAACAATAATTATTGGAAAATGAGGAAAAACTAAAGATGTAATTGGCTGATTTAGAGAAGACTCTTTTAGATGAGTTAGCAAATTCATAAGGAAACATCTTAGAGAATAGAGTATTGATTGATAGTTTAAATTAAACAAAATCAAAATCATAAGTTATTGCCCAGAGTTTACAAGAATCCTCAAAATTACAGGAAGATTTAGATACATAAAGAGATGTGTATAGACCATTATCCTAGAAAGGTGCTTAAATCTTCATTCTTATTCAAAGTCTATAGAATTTAAATAATATGTATAAATATTCATTAGCCTACTTTATTCAAATATTTTAAAAGACTCTAGAAATCAAAGAGAATTTTGATTCAAAACAAAAGAAATTAGAGTTTGCTGGATAGAGTTTATTGAGAAATATCTTCAATCAAATAGCTGGTTCATTGTTCAAATAAGATAGATTAATCTTTGCCTTACATTTGGTAAAAGGATGTAAACCAGAACTAATTGAGGAAGAGGAATGGCAATTTATGATTGGTAATTAAATACCTAATGACAGTGCTCATCTTCCAAAATGGGCATCTTAAGATAGAAAGGAAATATTTGGATAGTTATAGAATCTTAAATTAAATATCAATTTTAATTCTAGTGAATGGGAATAATGGAATAATAATTAAGAATGCGAGAAAAACTTCCCATAATCAACTAAATTAAAACCATTTTAAAAAGTGCTTATTGTCTAAACATTCAGACCAGAAAGAGTTTAAAGTGCATTGAATGAATTTGTCTGTCTAAATTTAGGTATACCAAGTGTTAGTGGTCAGACATTCAATTTCTAGATTGTTGCTTAAGAAGAATTGACAGCCTAAATTCCATGTCTATTTGTTGTCTCTGCCGGTAGTGATCCTTCTAAGGAACTAGAAGAATTTGCTGAATAACAAATAGGAAAGTAGAACTTTTAAGAAATGTCTATGGGAGGTAATTAAAATGAATTAGCATTAACTTTGATTAAAGAAGCTGCTCAAAAAGGTTAGTGGGTATGTTTAAAGAATTTGCATTTAGTTATTAGTTTCCTTCCTTTATTAGAAAAAACCATAAAACAACTAAAGCCACATCCAAATTTCAAATTGTGGCTTACAACTGAAGCTCATCTGAAATTCCCATCTATACTTCTTGAAACTTGTTATAAGGTGTCATATGAAGCACCTCCAGGGTTAAAAAAGAATTTATAAAGAATAATAACCAGTTGGCCCACACATAATAAATAATCTGTCTATTAAACATAATTACTGTTCATACTCACTTGGTTCCACGCTTTGGTTTAAGAAAGAAGAACTTATATCCCATAAGGTTGGAGTAAATTCTATGAATTTTCATATGCCGACTATAAAGCAGGAGTCTAAATAATTGAGAATCTATTATAAGAGTCTTAAACCATCTCTTGGTAAACTTTATATGGATTATATGAAAATGCCATCTATGGTGGAAGAGTTGATAATGAATAGGATATCAAAGTGTTGAGAGCATATTTAGAAACCTATTTCAATTAAAATAAATTACAAAATGGAACTCTAAGTACTGGACAATAAATACCATAAACTAATCAAGTTAAAGATCTTGTCAATTTAATTAATAAATTACCTGAAAATGATGTTCCTGAATTTTTTGGATTACCTAATAATATTGATAAGGCAGTTTAACGATATACAATATCAAGAGTTGTCAGTGGTTTGAAATCTATGAATAATATAGTTGGATCTGAAATCAAGTTTGATAAAGAATTGTGGACTAATTTGTTAAGTCCTCTCATCAATATGTGGGATCAATTGAAAATAAGGGATACTATCTCTGTTACAAATTAATAATTAGGGTCATTGGATCCAATTGAATCATTTATTTATTTAGAAGCCTAATAGACTTGGAATCTCTATTAGATTATTAACCATTCCTTTGAGAAATTGAAGAATGTTTTATACAATAATGGTTTATTGACTAGTGACATTATTGATGTTGGATTATTATTTATCAAAGATATTGTACCTTAGAAATGGAGCAATTTCTGGGAAGGTCCTGATGATATCAATTTATGGTTGAAAATATTTATTAAGAAACTCAATGCTATTAAACTATGGATTGATAAGATACAAAGAAAATAATAATTAGAAGAAGTTGATTTAAGCGAGTTATTCCACCCTGAAATTTATATGAATGCACTCAGATAAAAAACAGCGAGAAAATTAAATATTCCATTAAATGAATTGAAATTATAAGCAGATTTTGATAACCTTAAGCATCCTCTTGTAGTTAAATTAAAGAATCTCTTATTATAAGGGTGTGGATTCTCCAATGGTCAATTAGTTGATGATATGAAAATAACATCAGAATTTATCGAACTACCTTCTTTGAATATTTCTTATGTAGAGAAATCGTCACCAGAAAAGAATGGAATAGGGGTAATTTAATATTATTATAATTTCTAGGATTTCCCTATTTATTTAAATGCCAGTAGAGAAAAATTACTATGCAGAATTAAATTACCTCAATCTGGTCAAATGAACGATAAAATCATAGCTGGTGTTGCATTATTTTTGAGCCAAAACGATTGATTAATTATATTCAATATATAAATATATATAAAATAGTACGATATCTTTCATATCAAATTTTCAATATCAAAATATGTTTTTTATTAATAAACTTACTATAATGCCTTGTTAAATTATTTATATTTGAATTACAAAAGTAAATACAAATCTATCAACATATATCATTATAACAATTAAATTGAAGAGGAATCTTTCACCTCGCAACATGTTTTAATAATTGAAGGTAAAGAGGTGGCTAATTTTTGATGTACGATGTTAATTGTTTCTTCTATTATTCTTTTTAGCTCCCTTAATAAAGTATTTTATTAACCCTATGTTTAACACATGGTAATAATTTATTAAATAGAACTATTAGAAATGGTTTCTAATGTTTGATCTAATAGGTCTAGTTGCTCATCATCACATTAAAATGAAAGTGACCTTAGAAATAATATGAATTTATACAATTCCTTTTATCTTTTTAAGAAACGAGTCTATGTTTCTTTTGTACTAGTTTCCTTTTAGATTTAATATAACTTTTATTAAAGATTGGCTATGACTTTAGTTTTCTCCTCTAATTAAGATTAGAAACTCTCTTTATCCGAATCTCGTAGTTTGGCTATTTAATCATATTTAGTTTTCCAATCTCTTACAGATTATTGATTATCTTCATCTTATTTATGCCTTTCTTTAACTAAATCATTAAAAATATTAGTTAAATTATCATATTCTTTTTTCAATTATTGGAATTCATTTTTTAATCTTTAATTTTCGATTTAATATTTTTGAATATCATGCATTTTTCTTTCATTAATAGGTGAATTAGTTGCAGAACCTTCTTGAATTATAGTGTAATTTTCCTCTTCTTTTTTTTTCATTTCATCAAATAACTTATTTTTAGCCTCTAATTCAGCTTGGCATTTTTCAAAATCCTATTGCTTTTTTGATAGCTCTGATTTATTTTTTTCAATTATTTCTAATTTTTATTAATCCTTAGCCTTTAATTAGGATTGCAAATCTGAATTAGAATCTTTCAAGTCTTAAATTTCTTTAAGCAACTTGTTTAGTTTAGATTATACTTCCTGCTTCTCTCTTTCCTAAATTCAGTTAATAAAATACCCTATCTTCATTGATTTCGTCTTGTTTTGGTATCTCATGTTAAATGTACTATTCTAGGAATTTAAGAGTTGATAGTTCAAATTCAAGATTGTTGATTTTTTCTTTTAATTCACTGACTTCTTTTTACAGAGCCTATGGATGAAGATTAAATGATACTTTTATATAATTGGCACTTTATTTTAGTTTTTCTCCTTGAGTATTAATATTTAACATAAAATAATAAATAAGTGGTTTTATAAACAACTGGAATATGGATTTCATTTATGGAAAATATTCTTAACCTTTTCAAAGACACCCTCATGAGCTGATGATTACCCTTGTGTTTCAACTTTTTCTAACTATAAAATTATATAATAACCATACTTTTGCTAATTCTTCAAATAGTTATTTTTATTGATCAGTCAATTTTGTAGGGATTTGAATTTTCAGATTTACAACCTAATCACCTCTTTGATTAGAATTGGGTGCCAATTTAGTAATTCCCTAAAATTAAATAAGTATATTACTAATCCACTTAATCTAACTTTTTCCCCATCTTAGCTACCTGGTTTTATATTTATTTGCTATTCTCCATTAAGTGTTTTGATCTTAACTTAATCTCCTAGCACAGCCTAAGCAACAGAAATATAGGCATTAGTGATTAAATCATATCCATCTCTTTTGTAATATGAATCTGGCTTAACCTATACTTTAAGTATCAAATCTCCAGCCTTGCCTCCATTTTCTCCAATATTTCCTTTGCCAGTCACTCTTAAATTCTATCCATCAGCTATGCCCTTTGGAATATTCACAGCTTCAGACGTAGCTTACTTCTATATTCCAGCTCCTTTGCAAGTTGTACCTATGTAATATTAATCAAAATTACAGGGATTCTTGATTGAGACTCCAGTTCCTCTACATTTAGTACAAGCCATTTATATTGTCATAGCTCCTTATCTGTAATTTATCGAACCTCTACCACCACAATTAGTGCATCTTCCTGGTGCTGTTCCTGGTTTGCATTTGGTTCCATTACAAGTAGAACATACTCCAATCTTCTCAAATTGTATTGTCTATTATGCCCCATTTACACTATCCATAAATGATATTTCCAATTAGATAAAAATATCTGCTCCTTTTATTTATCTTTCTGATTCTCCTCCCATATTGAAGAAAGATGCAAAATCACCAAAGATAGATTCATCGAATTAGAAATCTTATGCTCTGCCTCCTCTTGCTCCTTGCCTAAAAAAGCTACTATATGCTGCAAATGGATCCTAAGCTCCAGCCTAATCCTACTCATCTCCAGTCATTCCCACTTAATCATAAACCTTCCTTTTATTATCATCTGATAATGTTTCATATGCACTAATTCATATACTCAAATGATACTTGTTAATTTCTGCAAACTTTTCCTTTGCATCTTTGGATGGATTTGCATCTGGATGGTATTTCTTTGCCAATCCATAATAAGCTTTCTTAATGTCATTTTAGGAAGCATTTCTAGGTACACCCAATAGTTCTAGTTTTAAATTAATATAGATTACCATAAAGATCTTTCTTAGATGAAAATCTATGAAAGGGTACATTTGTGAATGTTTTTAGAACGTTCCTAGTTAAAAATTGCATTGTCAACCGGAAATAAATTAAGTTATTTTATAAATTTATTAAATGATTTATATTTGTGAATCATAATCATTTAACAATTTTGCATCCTAATGTAATCTAGAAAATTAAGTCTTTTTTTTACATTATTTTGATTAATTAATATATTAGAAATAATGAAGACTCATTTATTATAACATTTTTAATCTAGATATTATTCAAATAATGTTAGATATGACTTTGAGTAATCTCATCATATATTTCACTAATAATATCTTTATGTTAATTTATAATAATAGATGATTGCACTAATTAAAATCAACACATTTTTCTTTGAACATGCATATTATTTCTATTTTTTAATACATTTTCCAATTATGCACTCTTTCTCAATTTTTCTTAATCTTTCTCTTTATTTTTGTGTTACATGAACATTTACATAATTGTCATTTTAGTATTTTAATATTTTGGTTAGTCTGGAGATCTAAAAGGATTAATATTCTAACAATTGCTGAGATTTGAATTTTTTGGAGATTCAGAGGACATAGTCTTTTCAATTCTTTAACTTTCACTATTCTTTAATTTTGGTCTATCAGTTAAATTATTGTTGATGAAACTATTATCATTATCCTCAAATAGATTGAATAATTTTTGAATCAATGATTTAAAGTCCTTTCCTTCTCTTTCATCTGTTTTTCCTACAAACTATCCAATTAATTAATGAATCACATTTAAAAATTGATATAATTTATTATTATTCATCATATTTTGAGATTATGACATATTATCATAAATTGACCTTTATAAATTATTTTAACTATTGAAAGCATCAAATAGATTTTAAGTTAATTTCTTTTATTCATCTAATTATGCTTATAAAGTTGAAATTTAATATTCATAAAGATCCTTATTAAAAGTAGATGTGTTATGTTCATCTTAATTTTTAATTCTTCTACTTGGTTGTAAAGATGAATATTACGAAACATTTTCTGTTTCTGCTAAGCTTTATTTTAATTTAGTAATAGTCTCTGATTTATCTGAAATCTCATCCTTCAATCTTTCAATTTCCCTTCTTAAATTAGCTATTTCTTATTGATTTAGATTATCTTATTGTTTTTATAGAGCTTTAACTTTATCTAATTCATTTTGATATTGTTTTTATTTTAATTCTGAATTCTAAATGAGAACATCCTTCTCATTCAGTTGATCATTGTATGACCTTTCAATTTATTTCAATTTATTCATATATTCACTTACCTTATTATCAACAGTTGTTTAAGATTATAAAATTTGTTATTATTATCTCAAATTCTTATTTTTTTCAGATTCTAATTCAACTCTTAATTGATTCTTATCCTTTTCCATTTAAGTAATCTTTTCATATAAATCAGCCTCCTATTTCTTGTATCTCTGTTTCTACTCCTTAATATCCTCTTATATCTAATTTCCATTGTCACATTATTATCTTAAATATAAATTTGGTATTACTTCAATTACAATGATAATTTTTTGAATTCATATTAAATCTTATTCATTACATTTTATTGTATCTATTGAATATAATCAATCTATAAATTTTGATTGGCTCCGCTATTCCAAATCATGGTTTATTTCTAATTCAATTCAACTACCAATTCCCAAATGTTCTCTTATTACTATTGTTCATTTAGTTTATTTAAAAATTGTATCTTAATTTCTTCCAATTATTCTTCATGTTTCTTATTCAATCTTTATTATGCATCAACATATAATTCTTAAATCTATTACTTAATCATTTTCTTAGCTGTACTGAATTCCTCACTTTCTTTGTCTAAACAATTGTTCTCCAAATAATATTTAACTTTTCTCACAAACTACAAATAAATAGGTTATAATACAATATGATGTGATTTTTCCAACTATTCCTATGAGACTCCATTCTATTGTAATAATTCATCTATGCTGTCTTTATAAATTTTCAAGCCCCCTATGAGTGTTCTATTCAATTCCTGTTTGCATATCATTTACCATTGTGTTTCAATAACTGGCATATTACCTTCATTGATTGTATTCACAAAATGTCTAAAATACTAATAATAAGAATTACTTGCACATTTCAACAAAACTAAAAGGTGTAGTTGGTTTTCCTTTGTATTATTTTAATGAAATCTTATAAGAAAACTTCTTTCTTAAGGCAGTTAATTGTTCTTAAAATTCAGTTCTTAATTCTGTAAATTTCAACGAAGATAAATGCTATAAATCTTTTTCATCTTAAGTGGGTCTCACAAGGGTCATACAATCTCGTTCTTAAAAAAACTATGTTATGTGTCTTCTTATTTTATTCTTATTTTCTATTGTTTCACTAAACCCTTTTAATGGTTTCAATGCATTTTCCAAATAATCCTTGGGTGTAATTTTGTTTCCAAATTCATCTTCTAATCGCAATGTAAAATCCCTAAGAATCCATAAAAATGAAGGAAATGTCTCAAAGAGATCCTTCTAAGTTGATTCATCTGTTTTTTATAGCATTTTTGTTAGATTAACCTATTGATTATTTTATAAAGCTATACTATTAATCCCAAATTTTATAATGCCATATCATCTATAGTTCCAACACTATTATAAATGAAATATGAGCTCATCAACATTGCCAATAGAAATATTTTAACATCATGATTCTACTCTTCTTCCAATGAACCTATACCTTCTGTATCTATCAAAATCGCAGGTATAGGTTCTTTTGATCTTCCAGATTCGAAATAGATAATGTCACTCCACATCCATAATCCCTATTGATATTTTATATCCTTTTGATACTTTTGTGCAGGCATTGACTGTACTTCCCACATTGAATCCTTGATTCTATTGTAACAGCACTTAGTTAATTAGATAACTCTTCCCTGTTCTATATTTGCCCACAACCACTACAACTGCAAAATTCTTGCACTTATCTGTGAATGATTAGATAATTTCAATTGCTTCTTATTCTAACTTAAGTTCTGATGATATTATTGATATTATTACACTTATTTTCATCTACTGATATTAATTATACTGCTCTTGGTCCCTTATTCATAAAATTTAAAATTCAAATATTTATTTGTATTGTTAATATTTAAAATACTAATACACTTACCAATTTTAGGTCTTTTTAAATTATATATATATATTAGTGGATGGCTTTAAAGAATTTGGGGATTATCAACCCGTAAAAGGGACACTCTGTTTTCCTTCAAATTAAATTGATGATTATTTACGATTTATTGGCTGTTGTTTTAAATTGAGAGTTATTTGAATACTCAAATAAGGAGATCATAAAGTTGATCCAATCTATTAAATTGAATTAATATTAATTTATAATGTATCTTAAATATAATATATAATATATTTAAAGTATTGTTTTTTAATGAATTTAGTTAGATTTGAACATTCATTATATGATATTATAATTAATCACGTGATAAACAAAATTTTAATTAATATGGCTTCTTAAAGTGAAGAGAAAGACTTGATAGGATCCATATTAAGTGGTAATGATGAATTCGTTATTGTAGATTAAGATGACAAACAAGAAATCGTTCTCAAAAAGGCAAGAAAGAACTTATCCTTGAAATCAAAAGAATTCGATCCTCAAATACATCCAAAACATTAAGAATTTCAGACTTCAAATGCAAGCATATTATCAACAGGATATTAATCGCAGTAGAAATAACGAATATTTTTCTAGACTTAAACATCAATAGAAATGTATATATATAATTATAATCAAATATTTAGTTAGTCTTAACCTTTCTAGTGCTTTACAATAAACTGCTGATTAGGATAATAATACTTCTTCAATCGATCATTTCTAATGTATAAATCAATTCAAGTGTTTGTAGCCTTTGATTCCTTTGGTTAGTTACAAAGAAAACAATCGACTAAGAAGCATCATACTATGCAACCAATCGAATATTAAAACTCTTCTTTGGTATTCACGAGTGATTAGTGCATAGAGAGTAAATTATCCTTAAGCCAAACAGACCTTGTAAATTGTTAATATTTAAAAATAAAGGAATAAATCTGTGGGAATTAATTAATCAACAGGAAACTTTAGAATATTTTGGATGGCAATGATATCAATGCAAAAAGAGTGATTTTCAATCAAGTTGAAAAGATATGTTTGAAGGCTTCGAAAGATATGTTTGGAAATTACACAGTTTAAAAGATTTTCGAGGTTGGAACTCAAGATTAGAAACAACGAATGTATAATCTGCTAATTAATCAAATCTTTGATTTATCAAAAAATTAATATGCATGTAGAGTGGTCTAGAAAATGATGGAATTTATAAAGTATTTCAATAACTATTTAAAAGAGATCATACCTAGTTAGTAGACATATTTTTATAAATTATGTACCCCCAGATAAATCAATTATTAAATGATTCCAATGGCAATTACGTCATTCTTTCTTGCTTTGAGTTGTTTAACAAGAATTAGCTAATTTTTATGATTCCATACATAGAAGATTCGGTAACTTGTTATCTAATAATTTTAGTTATAATTTATGTCAAAACAAACTTATGGATGCAGAGTCATTTAGAAGGTTTTAGAGTTATATCCAATAGAATAAACCTAAAGAATTCTGGACATCTTGATGACTCTTGCGTCTCAATTATGTTATTAGGAATTTGGAAATTATATCATTTAGTATCTATTAAAGAGTGGACCTCCAAAAGAGAAATAAATCATTTGTTCGATTATTAAGGATAACTTTGAATAACTAAGTATAAATAAATTTGGAAGCAACACTGTGGAAAAATACATCGATATTATGGGGCCGAATTAAATTATTACAATTTTATGTTCAATTTCAAATGATTAGTAATTCTGTTATTGTATGTTAGATTTGTATTTTACAATTTGTCTATCAATCCTTTTGGCAATTATGTTATGAAAAAGGTATTGATCAGTGGAGATCCATCAGTGTAGTATTTCAAAAGCTTATTGAAATAATATCCAGATCTAATTCAAAGAATTAAAAACTCTGATTTCGGATAAAGAGTTGGATTAATTATGGATGCATTATGAGTGGTCATCTACTTGTAATAGTATCTTGCTTATGAGTATTATTCTATCCAATTTTAATATCATATTTATCTTTATTATTCATATACATATATAGATAAATAAAATAATATTCATTATTACTTTTTCTTAAGCTTTTTTAAAAGAGTATTAACAAAAATGACTATTTTTCTTGTTTGTCTAAAATTCAATCTGGCATCACAAGCAGTAGTATACTTTTTGGGATCTATTTCCTCATCATTTTCAACGCATTCACTTACATCATACGGAGTGCATTCCAAATGTAATCCTGCTGGTTTTTCATTGCTTTATTCAAGTATATTAAAAAACTATTGAATTTCAAACATAATATCTTCAATTCTTCTGATTTTATAGCCATTCTATTCTAGACTATTACCATGCATAGGATCTAGGAAGAAGGAGACATTTAATTTTTCTTCATGTTTCCAATTAATAATATCTTTTAATTTATCTAATTTATTCTTTCCTAATCTTATAATGGCAAACACTCTTCCATCTTCATTCTTTGGATTCAACAATTTAATTAGATTAACAAACTCATTTTTATTTATACTTGATCCAATCTACTGTTAATAAATAGAATACCTTGATTCCAATAGGATTGTAAATTCCCTTTGCAAAATTAGAATGTGCATGCTCACACAATCTAGTTCTGTCCCCAATCCAAGGGAAATGAGTATTTGATAGATAATAATGGTCTTCCTCATGTTATCTTGCAAATGCAGATTCATATCCTATATGCAAACATTCATGAGAAACCCATAATTATTTACCCTCATATTTACGAAGTGTGTCTATGCCCTTTTTTGAGTAATGCGCACCTAATAGTAATCTCAAAGGATCAGGATCTCTTTCATCTCTACTCAATGAATTTATTAAATCTCCTCTATAATTTAATGTTCCATCCTTTTCGTGTAATTAGGTCCTGGGTTTCGCAAATTATCCACAAGTTCTTCCAATTACTATCGCATTTAGAATTTAACCCATACTCTACATATTTATATGTTATACATCATAAAAGCTAAATTTCTCCTTCCAATGTTCTTCCGTGCATTCATTATATACTTCTGCACAGTCTCCTAATTGCAAGACAAATTTATCTCCTTAGCTAACCTTTATCATCTCATTCTTGAATTTATTTATCTCTTCAAAATTTAAGATTCCAGGAAGTTTTCTTAATTTTTATAGAGTCTCCTAACTATTATATTAGATCTGATTACTAGAAATGAAGATCCTAATATAATGGCTATTGCAATGCTGGATATTTCTTCCAACTATCTAGATTCCATTCTTTCTCTTAATTCATTAATTAATTTTTAATTTTGGTTCACCATGAGCACTATTTAACCGAAATATGCAACATATCAAATAGATGGCACTGGTATTCGTTCTTTCATTTCTAAATTAGGCAGAGATATGTATATCTCATTTAATAATGGCGGAACTCTTAAAACTATTCCAACCTACAGCCAATAAAAATATCATAGTGTAACTCCTCAAAGGAGAAACAGCAGAAGTATCAGTAACAACACAAAAATGATTCATTATCATAATAATGGAACTGGAAGAGATCTTTACATTTCGTAAAATTATATATAACTTTTAGTTAAGATTCTGAACTCTCTAATACTTCCTTCTTAAGAGGTTTGCGTAATTATGAAAGAACCTACCAAACACCCAAAAAATTTAGAATTAGAATTAATAAATATATATGATCGTTTTCTAATTAAAATGCCTACTTTTTAATTCTTATCGTTAAAATATTAAATAAAATTTATTAACAAAATAATACCCTTCTATCCATATCTACTGATTTATAAGAAATTAGATTCATAATATATTGAGTTACTGTTGTTTACAAAATAATTATAATTTATTAAATACAGACATTTAACCATAACATTTTGCTCCTAAATTCCTATTATAAAATAAGTAACATTTTATAAGAATTTGATTTATTTTTTGATTCATTTTAAGAAAATCAAAAATCAAATGAAATAATAATATTAATAGGATTATTTTGAAAATCAGAATATTATCATAGGTGTAATTAACTTAGATATAATCAAAACTATGTTATTATGTGATAGATTGATATTTAAAGAAAAGAATAAATACAAAATAAAATTTATCAAATAAAGTGTGAAACATCAGTTTACGAAAATGATAAAATATATAATATGATTAAAATACATATAGACATAGGTAATTATAAAATAGAGAAAAGATTATTATAGCAGGAGATATAATTTATCTACGAACACAAATTGAGATCAACAACAACATTTAGTAATTTTAGATTGTAAACAAATCCTGATTTAAATCTGCTACAACAATCAAATTATTCATTTAAGTGAATCAAAAGTATTTAGATATTTAGAAAGATTTTTGAATAATAAAGAAATATTTTATAAAATAATTAGTTATAAAATTCAGAAATTTTTTAATCGTTAAATAATTCAAAATGGACTCTCTTTTTGCTCTATTTGATTAGTTCATTAGAATCAATTTGATATATTATCCATAAAATTAATAAGCGTACATTTCAGAAAGTTGGGAATAATTTTTAAGTTTATTATAAACTTAACCTCTTGATTATGGGAAAATTTATACCTTAATAAATAGAATGACTTATGAAAATTTAACACCAACAAAAAATGAGAGATAAAGTTCAAGTTAAAGATAGGTAGCTAGAAATATCACTGCTGCTTCATCACCTAGAATAGTTTCCTCATCAGTGTCAAAGAACAGTATTGAAATTGATAATTTAAATTTAAGGCACCAACATATTGTAAAAGATTTCACAAATGGACAATATAGCCAGTCCTAAAATTGCAGTCCCTAATCTTACTAGTTAACAATCCTTGATTAATAAAACATCATAGTAATAAAGTGCCAAATAACAAGTATTTTTCAAGTTAATATAGTAATTGACAGAAGAATTTAACAAGCATCTATTATTGAGTAAAATAAAGGAATTGTAGTTTAATTATTCTGTTTCTACAGATAAGCTATACGCAATTGCAAAAATTCTGTAATCAAAAGAAGGTTATTCAGCAACAACAAAATCACCGATTAAATATCCATTAACACAGCACTTAAACAAATCAAGGGGAAATAATCATAGTGCAGAGCATTATAAAATTGTTGCTTGATTTCTGATAGTTTCTTTTTTAATAAATTTATAACAATAATTTCAACCATTTAAATCTTCTTTTAATTGAACAATCAACAATTTGAAAAAGTATATGCATATTTGTTTCCTTTTTTTAAATTGATTACAAAATAGTCAATATACTAATAATTTCTATTGAAATTAGCTTTATTAATTAAGTGTTTCTATTTAATATTAATTTGATTTTTATAATTGAATTATCTCAACTTAAATTCTATCTGGTTACATTGTTAAGGTTATTAAATCTATCGATATAATTGAAGGAGATAATACAAAAATAGTAAGTATCATTGTTTGAAACTTTGCCACAATTGAATATATACATTTTGCATTCTTTAATTGGTAAAAAGTACAATGAAAATATTTTCAGATAGAATAATTCAACTAGAATGAATAAGATTAACATACTCAAAATTTTTAGAATAACTCTTGGTGTTTATTGGAATTAATATCATTTACAATAAATCTGTTACTTTATTTCAATATTATAATGTTATCTATTGGAATTTGATTGGAAATAGCGACAACCTCCAAATTTAAATAAATTAAATTGAAATTTATGATTCTATTTTGAATAGAATAAATTCCATTTTTATTGAATAATAATGTAATTAAAACTTTAATCAATCTGATCCTTAATTAAAATAAACTATGAAATTTATCACCTAAGATGGTCAAGCTTTTGAAGTATCTATTATTCTAAATTAGATTACTGAAAATACATTAAAATATTGTAGTAAGGTTAGTAACAAAAATACTGAGACATTAAATTTAACTTCCATAAACAGCAGTATATTGAAAAAGGTGGTTTAGTATTGTGAAATGCATAAAGGGGATGATATTATCCCTAAAATTTAGAAGCCTTTGTTATCAAATAACTTGTAATTAATATTCTTAATATTAGGTATGAAGTCTTGAGTTTTAAAGATGCTGAATATATTACTAATCTGGAATTAGAGGAATTACTTCATATTATTTAAGCTGCAGAGTTTCTTGGTATAAATACATTAGTAGATCTATCTTGTGCACAGTTTGCTATGAAAATAAGAGGTAGAATTTCATTAAAATTTTAGGAAAAAGTTCTGAATATATAAAATCCTGCCTCTCTCCTAAAATGCATAAAACAGATGAAGAATTTTAGATGTAAAGAGATAATGAAAATTTGGTCAAAATATAGCCAATGCAAAGTTCAGATTGACGGATAGACTTATGTTATGTTATATAATATAAAATATAAAACTTTATAAACAGGATTCTGTAGTGTTGTATATCTTTATTCAAGTTTCTTATTGTTAACTTAAATGTTGTATGCTTTCTTGTTTCCCTATCGAAAAAGAATATTATTTAAAATAAACCTAATTTTATTCAAATTATACTCTAATTAACAAAATTTATATACAAGTAGTATAATTAGGAAGCTATCTTAATGTAATTACAAAAATCGATAATTTAATTTGGAGGTCAGAAGAAAGAAATAAAATTTTCAAATCAGTTATTAGAACCCAAAGCGATTTTGGACTAATTTTAATTTTTCAATTATAAAAACGAGCTTTATCTTTTTAGAATAGAAATCTTTAACCCTATTTCTACATTCTACTTTAATCAAATTGATATTCCTTCATTAGATTCTTATAAGACTATATTTATCCGAATCCTATTTGTAGAAAAGAATTTGAACAACAAAATGTTTGCTGAATTTAATACCAAAACCAAGAAAATGGTTAGCGTAGATAATTATAAAGAAATGGATTTAATAATGATTATTTCTTATTTACAAAGATATAAATACAGTACTTTATCATTTAGAAGTGTTCACATCTTTTATTAATTTTGGTAATCCTTTACTTCTTTTTTATAATTTACTAACATTATTATAAATATATACCTTTTAGAAGCGAACAAGAGATTGATATTGGCTAGCAATATTTAGTAAGGGATAGTTGGTAATTTGTTTGTCTTCTTCTCAGGATGCTTGAATTGACATCTTTCTCCGTAACAACAATAACTTTTAATATTAAATATTATTGATACCCATCTTAAGTGTAATTTTTACAAGTTTTAGTCTTGTAATTAGAGGGAACATGGACTTTTTATCTCACTTCGTCCTTTCCGTGAGCAAAGGCACACTAATGTTAATTTTATAGAATACCTATTAACCATAAGGACAATATCCTTCAATGGCCCAATATTTACAAATCTAAACAGGATTTATTAACAAATTTACTTCAGTTTTAACTTTTACTTTGTAGGAAACCTTTTTGTTATTTTTTTGGGTTGGCATTACTTCATCCAATTATTCATCTGAATTACTCTCACTAAATCAATAATAAATGGGTTATACCAACTCTTTGTAGAATGATTGCTATCAAATTCATCACATGAAATTTGTTAATTCATTTTAAATAAAGTAATTAATATCTTATTTTTAAATCTTAATAATATTATTAAAGCCAATCCAGACTATATAAATTAAAGATAATGCGTATTTTAATAATATTATTAAACATTAGAAATTGCCGGGATTACTAAATTTAAAAATACCTGGACCATCATCTAACAAATTATGTTTAACGAATTAAATAAATTCTGCAATTCCTATACTTCAATGATCACAAATATCTTACTATTAATAACCTTAAATTCATATAATAAGTGTCTGTTATTAGAAATAGAGATAATTCTTAGGGATGTTGGCAATCAACACAATTACAAGGGGATTTAGATCATGATATAGAGTTAGGACATTACTTCCAGTAATTAATTATTTCTATAGAAATGATGTAACAAAATATTTTGAAAATGTATCGATTTGGATTAATTTACTCATTTAATATTACATAGAACAAAGTCGATTCATTTAATTAATATAGATATTGATTTAATAAAAATCATTAATTATTATCTCAAAGAATTTAGTGGTATAAAAATGAAGATATATTATAATCTGTATTAAGATAATAAGTTCCATTCAAAAGTATTGAGTATGAAATTCAAATATTTTAAGATAAAAATAATACTTTTCCACTATTTTTAAGGATTATAAATTGAGACTAATTGCTTCAAAATAGTAAGCAATAATCACTCTGTAACACAAAATCTAGATGCTTTGAATTTCGTAGAATGATAATTATAATAAACTCAAATTTCTTAACACATTCCTTCAGTTGGAGTAACTAATTCTTAAAGATTATGTGATATTTATTGAAAATTAAAGCCTTCTTATTCTCTCTAATTTACAGATTGTTATTTTTCATTATGAGATGAACTTCTTATGCTATCATTTTCATTTTCACTATCAGCATCAAATTAAAATGCAGCCTCCATTTCTTACTGTTTAGCTTTTCTTGGCTTCTATTTTTTATTTTTGCTGATTGTAGCAGCAGTCTTAGAAACTTTCATTTTAATATTTTACTTCTGATTTGATTTTTCTTTAGAATCAGATTAAACTACTTGATTCTGGAAACTAATTGGATAATCAGAATTTATCTCTCCTTAACCTTAATTTTACATTGTCACAGGTTTGTTTCTAAAAAATTTTCTCAAATATAATCCTGCGAAAGTTAGAAGCAGAAAGAGCAAAACGACAATAAATAGAGTTTATAACATTATTAATATAAATCAAATAATTTGTTAGTATTTATCTTTTGATGCCCTATCCCAAAATCAATGTGATTATATGTTCTATTTATTTTAAGTAGTTACAATCCTCTACTTATTCCATAGTTACTCTATGCTCTAAATAATAATACCACTATTTACTAAGTTTTGATTCATTTTTTTGGTTCTCTTGTTAACTAAAGTTCCTCATCATTATAAGCACATATATTCAATCCTAACTCAAATTTTATAACAATATCTTATTTTTGTCTTTTGAACTAATTTTTTAAATCTTCATTTATCTTCTAAATTTATCTTAGTAATTCATATATTTAGTTATATCTTTGGTTAAGATATACTGATTATAATAAGGAATAATATTAAGTTCAACAATCTCTATTTTGAAAAAGTAAATACTTAGTATTACAAAATAAATCGAGGATAATAGTAATAAAGTATATAATTGGTACTGACCAAGATAGAGAGTAATCGAAATTCATAAAAGTCATGTTATAAATTTCAATAATCGAAGGATGTCATAATTCTAATAAGTATAATATATAGAATAGACTATATGTTTAGAGATCTAGGGATTTAAATCTAAATCAAATGGCTACCACGATGATTTATCTAAGAAAAATGAAAAAACAATACAATTAAGTTCCAGGTGTTCATGCTCGTTGAAGATCTGATTTTTATTATGATATTAATATCTCAAAACTCTTCAGATATATTTAGACCTACCAGAAGAAATTAAAAAATATATAGATTCTTAATGATATATATTATTAAAATATTAAATGGACCAATAAACAGAGGAAACATTGAATTTAGGAATTGAAGTTCAAGTGTGTGATCCCATTGTAAAGAAAGATGGACTAAAGAATTATGTAGTTTACACACTCAAAGGTTAAGATAAAGAGGGCCAATTTTGTGTAGTGCGTCGATTCAATGAATTTGATTGTTATAGGTAAGTTCAAATACTATGTAGAATAACTCTTCAAATACGATGGCCTGGATGCTATGTCCCTCCTTTACCTATAAAGAAACCAGTCGTAAGTGTTGTAACCTTATCAAAAGGGAAATATGGATTAAAAGTTCATTGATGAGAGAATGCATTATCTCAATCTTTTTATGGGGAAGATATCAACAATTAATCATTTATGGTATTCTGAAGAAACTAAAGTATTTATAAAAGCCGGTGGCGATATTGAAAAAGTAATCATGTATTAATATTCCTCTAGCAATTAGTTGCATTATAAAAACCATCTGCTGGTGATATCATCTACAAATACGAAACAATATTCAACGATTTTTCAGGCAAGGAGATCAATGATCAATTACTCTCTAAGATTGGCAATTTCTCTTTGTTCTTAAAGAGGATTTAACCATAATTAGAAACCTTTTAATAATAAGCCAAATAACTTGTTCAATCGAGGTAGACATATTCATTAATATTCAAGGTTACAATGTCAAGATAATATGAATCTATTATTGGACTATTTAATGCCAGAATATGAAAAGAATTGTTTAACCGAATATGTTGTGAATCCAGAGAATAAACTTGTGTTTGTTTAACATAACACAGATTTATACCAATAATATGTTTTTTAGTTTTTAATTATTAGCGAGCAGCCAATGAAAAGAGTGCTCTGGACAATTTTGCATTGTCTATCAAAATAGAAACTAGAGACATTGATGCTGTGCTTGATGCTATACTATGTAAGGATAAATATGAGTAAATTAAACAAAACTATATGACTAAATTATGTAGTTTGAACAATGAGAAAAAAGACATTGAAAATGGTAAAACTACATTGAAATCTTTATTCAATTCAAATAAGGAAGAATTCATCTAAAAAACATAGCAATAAATTGATAATGTAACACCTTAATTATAAATTATCCAAAGATCCAAAAAGAGATTGAACAATTAACTATCTTATGTGATATGATAACCATAATCCTTGGATATATCATTCTGCCTAGATATAAAGTATTCATTATTTCAACTTATTAAGCAAGAGAAAGAGAAAAATTATTACTAATTATTAAAACAGATGGCACAATATTAAGTTCAGAAAGCTTAAGCAGAGAGGAATTATTGGTTAGATTTAGATAAGAATCAAATGTTTACGGAGGTTTGAAATTGATATATAACATAACAAATATTAAATAAGAATCTTTGGAGTTAAAATTCATAAAACCTTAAGTTGATTTATATTCCACAAGTACTAATGAAGACAGCATCTCCATTAACCAGTTCCGTCAAATAAAAGATTTTTGTTTTTAATTCAGGAATAAAAATCTCTCTAATTTATATGTTTTACTTAATAGAAATTTAATCGCCTCAAACTTTTATTTGTTAGATTTCAATTAATATTCATAATAATTTATGTGGGATATCATGTATATGTATCAATTACTATTCTTTTATCCATCTTTAATTTTTACTCTGATATCATTACTTATGATTTGCTTCAAACATTCAATAGCCCAATTAAAGTTTCCTTCCCCTATGTATTTTGTAAAATTTTCTACTAATTTCATTTTATCATATTCATCTTTAACAATCATCGGATCATATTTTGGCTAAATAATACTGAGAATTTAAATACTTGAGAAGCAACAATATTGTTGTTCATTGGTTATGGGAATTTGTTGGGCATCGGAAATTAGGGATTATTTTAGTTTGGTGCAAAGGTGGGATTCTATGGATTAAACTTATTATTATTATTAGTATTAGGATCAGCCTTTGGGAAGGGTATCTTTGAAAAATTTGGAGGATTTTAGCCACCTTAGGGAATCTAACCAAAGTTTGGCTGGGGATTTTAAAATTACATTGGTTTATTACTAGGGTTATTTTGTTATATAAAATTAGATTAAGGCTAACTTGGTATTATTGGAGGGATCTATTATTATTTATTCTGGAGATTGAATGCTAATTAGGGTGGTTTGGTTTGTTGGTTTGATGCTTGGGTATTAGGTGGTGGGAATTAAGGAATGATTCCAAAATTGTTTATTGGAGGTTGAACTACAGGTTGATTTGCAGGTTATGGAAGTATTCCGAATTGACTTCCAAACTATTTTGGTGGTTGTTAAGACATTGAAGGTGGAAATGAGACTCCTTCTTGCTAATTCTATTATTGATTCATTTAAAAATATTAATATTTTTATAAGTAAGAGGATTTTAATTTATATATTAATAAAAATAATATTATAATGAGGCCTAAGCCCAAGAATAATAAGGAATAGCAGAATGCAGAGGAATAATAACCTTAACACGTAATAAAGGAGGAGAAGCCTATTAGTGATAAATATTAGGTGAAATACAATTCAAAAACTCAATTGAGATTAGATGAGAAGGAGAGTTTCGTATTGGGAGTGCCAGGAACTAAAATATATAGTGTGAAATGGGATGCTGAAGATAAATACATTGCTTGTGCTTGTGAAAATGGGACGGTTCGAATTTTCAATGTCAGGAAAAGGTAACTGTCTTATTTGATAAACTCTCTTATGCCAAACATTCCATTTTCATACGTGAAATGGAGACCTCAAGCATAGCAATTTAAGACTAGAAACATCTTTGTAACTGGAAACACAAAGGGTGAAGTGCAACATTGGCATATGACTAGTGGGAAATGTTTGGGAACAATGAAGGAGGACAATTCTGATATCTATTGTATAGATTACAATTAAGATGCAACAAAATTGGCAGTATGTGGATTGAATCCTATCATTCGTATACATGATGAAGAGAAAAGAGTGGTTGATGTTAGATTAGGAGTAGAACAAACATAGCCTCCAGGTCATAATAACAGAGGTATAAATTAAATAGTATATATACAGTTTATTGTGTTAAATTTCATCCTCAAAATCCGAATATGTTGATATCAGGTGGTTGGGATTACAGAGTTTTAATATGGGATATCAGATAAAAGAAGCCAGAAGCTAATCAGATTTACGGTCCATTGATTTGTGGTGATGGTATAGATATGAGAGAGTCATTTGATGGATAACAATTGTTAACAGCATCATGGTCATAAGAGAAACAGTTGCAAACTTGGGATCTTAGAACTTGTAAACTTATTTGTAATTTTGATTGGAATTCTCAGATAAAGGTTAGTAATCAACCGTGCTAATTGTATAGTGGATAATTCTCAAGATAGTTTGATAATCAATTGACTTTGGCTGGAGGATCAGGTGAGAATGAAGTGAGAATCTTTGATTCACAAGATTTTGACAATGCTTAAATATGCATCCATGATCTTTGCAGAGAAGTCAATACTGTGGATTGGGCACATAAAGATTCTAGATTTGCATTCTCAGGTGGTGACGGATACTTGAGAATATTTGAAATATAATAAATAAATTGATTTAATGTAAGAACGGTTTATGAGGGCTATTCAAGAGTTGGATACCCTTTTAAGAGAAACTGAAACTGGCAAGATTAAACTTAGTCTTACTCTTAAGGATCTAGCACAATTGCATCACTTACAGTCCAGACTTCAGGAGTGTAAGTTTCTCAATTCAATCTATTCAGAGGAAAGCAGAATCAAGTAACTAATTGACAATTCATATTAAGATAATACCTAAGCAGAGCAGTGACAGTTAATCTATAAATCTAAGAAGAATTGTGTTCAATTATAGAGACGAAAATGGAATCTATTACAGTATCTCATTTAATAATTATCAAGTCTAACTTCAACCATTTGGATAAGCTGATTCTCTATATCTTGAATTAAACTATGAATAAAACAACCATGAAGGATGTACTAAGACAAATTAGCAATATTATTTTGGGTAGCAATAATTTCACTTTGCTCCGATTTTAAGAAAAATCTGTAGAAAGTGTCTCTACTGACGAATTTATTGAGGTAAACTAATATTCTCAAAATAGTCATAACTAACAGAACAATAGAAATTACAGCTTTACTAATAATTCCGTGGCGATCAACTTGAAATCATCACTTTCTAACCCACTGGGCAATTACAATAGATATTCAAATGCAGTTCTTTATAGGTTATCAGAGTGCCATAAAAATTGAATGCTTAAACCCATTCTTCACTCATCATCTACGAAGCATAAAATTAGGCCAAATTGCCATAATCCAAACCTCATCAAATTAAACTCATATGCGATCAACTTATTACTATAGGTTATGACTACTTGAATGAGAATTACCAGTAATCATTTCTGCTTACTTATCATTTAGTAAAGATGACTTAATCAATTCAGTCAGAGCCATTGGCTAATTTTTAATTAAAAATGCTCCAATCTTATTTTAGGAATGCATTAGAAATGAAATCGAAAGGAAACTCAACACTAAATGGTAACATTTTAATATTATTAAAAGTGAAATTATTTAATCAACCAAACACTCAAAAGACACTAGTTTCGCTATTTTAGAAAACCAAACCAAGTGTTTTATTCCAGTTATGTCGAATCATGTCGTTTAATTCTATTTGCATATGGAGAATGTCTCCTTGGATATAATCACTTTTGCAGATTTTGTATTTATCCATCTCATCTAAATTAGATGTCATAACTATGGTAACATTTTAAGCATTCCTTAAGAGAATTAAAGGATAAAGAATTTCTATATTAAATTATTGAAGTAAGTACACCAACCAAATTAGTAATTGCTTCTGATCTACATCTAAATATTATTTATTAGAGTGGTTCTGTTCCATCTTCATGGAATTTCTTAGATCTTAGCAATTAATTAATTGATTGTTACTAAAATTTAACAGAAATCAAAATGGAAGAAATCTACAAAACTATGTTACTCTCATCCTTAGAGGAAGTTTAAAAGAGTAAGAAAGGTGCAATCGATGCTGGCTAAATCATATATCATGATAAATATGTTGATATAGCAATTTACGTAAAAAAAGACGAGAAAAATGAAATTAATTAGTTCTTTATTGTTTTTGATCAACCAAAAAAAAGATTCGAATCCCAACGACAATCTAAAAGTGAGATAAAAGTATCAGAAACACTTGCAAGCTTGAAATAGGAGAAAATAGAGAAAGCATGCTTGGTTCTACAAGAGACATTAAATCTGAATCTATAAATGGATGAGATTATTGATATGCTCAAAGAACATGCATTGATGACAATTATCGAACAAAAAGAATAAATAACTGAAGACATCAGATAAACTTACGTCTTAGAATATTATAGAAACTCTGAATAAGTGTAAACTTATCGTAGGACAATAAGCGAACCTGATACTCCATTCGCAACTAAAACTTTGATTCAAGAACAATAATTGACTAATGCAAAAAGTATTAAAGTATCTAAATAAACATAGAAATGGAACTATTTTAATTAAGACCTGATGATTTAGAAAATTTGGGCAATTGGTGTTTTGATATCACAGTTTAGAAAGATTAAATAAAACATTATACTTGGGCATTGTTTCATTTATTAAACTATTTTGATAAATACCAAATATATAAGGAAACATTTTTCCAATTTTTAGTTGCAATAGAAGAGAGATACAACAGTCGTCGCAACCCTTTTCATAATTTTGAGCATGGGTTTACTGTGGCTCATGCATGCTATTATATGATAAAGAATAAACTATTAGATGAATATTTAGATTAAACTGAATAGTTTGCAGCTATTTTATCTTCTTTATGTCATGATATAGATCACACAGGCAGAACAAATGGATTCGAAGTTGCAAGAATGTCTAAATTGGCAGTTCGATACAATGATGAAAGTGTGTTGGAGAATCACCATGCAGCAATGACCTTTAAGATTATGCAGAGAGAGAAATACAATATTTTATCTAATCTCTCTCAAGAACAATTCCAAAAAGTCAGGAGATTTATGGTTTCCAATATCTTAGCAACTGATATGAAAAAGCACTTCGATTTAGTGTCATCATTTGAAATTAAGTATAAAAATGGAGAAATGAATATCCTTAATATGGAAACTAAAAGAGTGTTATCAGGTTTAATTGTCCACACTTGTGATTTGACTTAGCCAACTAAGAGATTTGAAATTACTAAGAAATGGTCAATAAGAATATAGAATGAGTTCGATAATCAAGTGGAAGAAGAGAGATTATTAGGATTGCCAGTTACTTAACATTTAGTATGCTAAAATTTACCAAAATAAGAATTGTCATTTATCAGAGTATTTGATTAATTATATCTTAGAATATCATCTAACCATTATATGTATTAACATCTTCAATTTTGAATAATGGATTGTCGGTTGCTTTGAAGTGTTTAGAGGAGAATGAAAAAGAATGGACAAAACTACTGAATTGAAAAAAGAATATTGATTAATTGATTTAATAATAATTATGTTTTATAGTTATGAAGAGCTATTTCTATAAGTCATCTCTCTTTTGGATACAAAATCAGATTAGTTTTTATTTTGAGAAATTAATTTGGATGGGTTTACCATCTAATTCCAGTCCATTATTTTTCACCAAAACTGTTAAAGCAATTTCGGTGCTAGCAAATTTGAGAATGGCCATGTATTTCATTGCATTTGTGATGATTTTGGACTACTTGATGATTCCATACTCTTGTAAATACTATTAGAGTATATTTAATTAACAAGAATTCTTAGTTAAGTTAGACACTTAGATAGTGTCACATGGAGGTGCTAGAGTGTAGGTACTATCAGGTTTGATTCGATGAGTTTCTTCTCCTCCCTAAAAATACTCCTCTTAAGCTTTAAGATCTTAAGTGTACTCACCTGGCTTGCTAGGTTAGGTTTTTAAAGATATTTCGTCGTAATTTGAAAAAAATATCTTTATTAAATATTGTAAAATACTTTGATTGATTGTCCATAGAACATGATATCATTGAGAGATTCTTTAGCGATAGCTGCATAATCATATGTCATATATTGTATTAAAGCACTTGATCTTTCCTTTAAATAGATCATTTTATCAATATTGCCATATATACTAAATAAATTGTAGAGCATTTGGGAAGTAACTACTTTTTTATCGAACCATCTTGCATAGATAACCTTTGATCTCTTGGCTTCTAATTATTTTAAATGAAATTAATACATTGAAGTGATTTAGAATTATCATCTAAATTATCAGCACTAGATTACATCTTTTCAAATTGCTATCTTTCTACTTATTGTAAGGTCATACTCTTGGAGACAGGCATTTTAATCATTTTGTTTCTGTATTGATCCTAATCCTATCTCTAGGGTGGTTAAGATATTGGTTATGAAATTTATTAAACAATTTAGGTTTGTTATTATGGTTTTTCGAAAGCTGATTGAAAATTTGAAAATTAATTCTTGTTTTCTGAGTTGGATTCGAAGTACTTTAGAAATTCATTATGTTAATCTTCATCATCTTCATCATCAATTTCTTCAGAACCAACTATCTCCTCATCTGATTCTTTCAGACATAAGTCTTAAAACTTTAAGTCATCTTCCTGACAATTGTCAAGTGTTTCAATATTATTATTATCTTAATAGCTTTGCAAAAATTCTATTTGATCATTTTTGTTCTATTGTTCAGCTGGCAAAGTTAATTTTTTCCTGTTTGATTATTTTTATTAAACACTTATTGATTGAGAATCCTCAGATTTATTTACTCCTTGTAGAAAATTTTGATATTGATCAGTTAAATGTTAGAAATTGGTTTAGTATTCAAAGATTTAGTTAAGCAATTACTACTATTTCTCAATTTGAGATTAGAGATCAATGGATGAAACTGTAGCGATAGAAAATCCTTCAGCACTTACTAATTGCAGTTATCCCATGACTGAATTGATTTGTTGAATTTATTAAGACATTTAATTCTAAAATTGCATTTGCGATTACAACAACTGAATAGGCATCTATTACTACGGTGTTTAAGAGGCTGGCTACTGAGATTTCCTTAGTTATGTGTAATCTAGGGTAAATTAAAGGCAATACCAACTCCACCAGTGTTGTTTTCTTGGAATGTGATATAAGTTAGTTTACTAGCATACACATTCATTGGCAATTAGGGATCATCGCAGAACAATTTATCATTCATGATCTATCTGGCTTTGTTGGCAGATTCAGGAAATTCGAATTCAACAAATGTCTTCCAAGTTAATGATCTCTCAAAAATTAGCATCTAAATTTTAGTAAGATGGAGATATTTACTCGTTGGATTGTCCCAAATTGACTAAATACTTTATAGTATTTATCATGTCCTAGAGTCTTATTAGCTTTGTTTGTGATCACTACCAAAATCACATTAGTTGTGTCTTAATTCATTAATTAATTATTAAATTTCTTAATACGATATTCATAAATAGTTTCATGCCTTATGCTTAACAAATCCATTCGATTTATTCCCTGAACCACTTTCTCTTCTCACTCCATCTACTAATTGATTCCTGAGATTTCGAGACTCCTATTGGGCTTTAGATAATTATTCCTCTAAAGTACTGTTTTACTCTATTATCTACTCTAATTGCTCATTCAATTTATTGATCTCTTCCTTCAAACCTTAAATTACCTTAAATTATATCACAATACCTTAACTCTTTGCCACTTCCTTTTCAACTCGCTCATTTTACTTCTCACAATTTTACACACTCTTCACATATTTCTCCTTCCAAACTTCAATCTCTCTTAAATTTTCTTAAATCTTCATTTCCTAACCTTATTTATCCTTCACCAAATTCTCACTAGCGACTTTTAGTTTCTCCATTTAAGTCTTAATCTATTCATTTTCCATCAACAAATCTACAATCTATGATTATTCATACTTGCAATTCTATTTTCCAAAGTTTTAATCTCATTCTAGTATCTTTATGCTTGAGATTTCAACTTCTATTGTTCAATTGATTAAGTCTTCATTTGGTCTTGATAAGGTTTCTAAGCATCATTAAATTACTTTTGCTAATTTGACAATTCCATCTTCATCTGATCCTGAACTTATTTGACTTCTTAAGCACACTCCAATTTATTCTATTAAATTGCATTATCCTTCTCATAAATAGCCTATTTCACTTATTCTTATAATTGATTAATTTTTTAATTTTTCTCTTTGATTTCTAAATTTTATTAATCTATCTTCTCTTAGAGTTTCTTGACTTTATTATCTAATTCAGTTAGTTTAGTTTATTCAGTTCTTAATTTTAGATCATCTATACTTTTCTCCCTCACTCTAGTTGGTAGTTACTTCAACTTTTATTACAATTCTTCTATTTTTGCTTCGTTGATTGATTGTGTTTCTAATAGCTTTTCATTAGCCTTTTCTAATTATTACATTTTGTCTTTGTTGATAATCTCATCTTTTCTTTTTATCTACTGTAATAAGAAGATTTATTCACTCAATTAGTTGTTTTTCTTGAGTAATTTATCATATTCTTATTGAAGGTCGTTAGTTTAACCTTAAGGGGACTATGATATTGACAATCCAGCCACCCTTTTAGGAATGGAATTTCTGACAGTTTACAATTCTTCAATTTAAGACTTTTTTGAACTATATTGATTCAGATTGCCTTTTAGATGATCAATAATATCTGTTTTTACTTAAATTTCTATTTTATGCTATTCCATTAATTTTGATATTTCTTTCTGATGATTATCATTAATTATTTTAATCTTTTCCTAAGACCTATCTTCTGAAAAGATTTTAGCTTCATTCTCCTAACTCTTCTCATTTGCTATTGCTTTTTATAAGTTTGAGTTTTCCTCTAATAATAATTGTATTTTGCTTTTTAAGTTGTGTATCTAGGATTATAGTTCAGTGTTTTGTAGAGTTAATATTTCAATTTCTGTTCCTCTCTTATTTGCAAGGACACCTAACGAAGCATCAGCTGAACATTGCTTTTCTTGATGACTCAATTTATCTCTTAAATCTTCGATTAAATGATTCTTTTCTTTGATTTAATCTTCAAATGAATGTATCTAATTGATAACTTTGATTGATTACTTTGAGCTTGTATTATTAGATCTCCTCACTCAACTTTTTTTCACGAGCAAAACGATCTCTTACTTCTTGTTCTAATTATTGAATGGTATTCGCTGCATTATCAATCCCTTGATTATTTCTTTAGACCTCTAATAGTTAGACTACTTTGTCATTCTCTTCCAACAACATTCCAATTTATTAATCTTTCTTCTCTCCAAGCAATCTCATCTATCTAACATCATTCCGTGCATCTTCAAATTACCTCCTTATTTACTCTGTTTCTTAATTAGACTCTTCCAATTATGTTTGATATCTCTAAATAACATTTTCCTATTGTTTTAATTTCAGTTCCAATTCATGGATTCTCCTCTCCAACACCTTTTTTGCTGCTGATTCTTTGGAAACCTCTTAAACGTCTTTAATGATTCGAGATGGACTTTAATACAAAGAGATTTGACTTCCATTATTTTTGCTATGCATACTCATTTACAACTGTAGTTTTATTAATAAATTATATATGTTAAGATTTAATTACAATAAACAGAATTCAATTATCAGAATCATCATCTAAGTCATCCTATCCATCAGGCTCCTCCTAATAATTCTCAGGATCTCCCTCATATTCACTTAACCCTTCATAATCCTCTTCAGCAACAGCATCCTTCTTCTTGTCCTCCTTATACTTTCGAATCTCATCCAACACATATTCTTATTCCTTCTCATCATCAATTTCCTATTCAGATTCCTCAAGTTCTTCCCCTGCTTATTGTCTCTATTTCTCAGACATAACCTTCTATTTAATCAATTCCTCCTACTCATAAACCAATCTCTAAGCTTCACTCTACAAATTGCTCTCCCCCTTTTCTCCTTTATTATGTTGTTCAATTAACCGAATCAAATCCTTCACCTTAATTTTATTGCCCACGAAACCAAAATCTTCTGAGATTCTTTTCAATTATTTCTCCAAAAATAAGGTGTATTCATAGAACCACTTTTCAGTGGAGAATATGGATAAGTAAATCACTATCTTATTGACTATCTATTAACAAAAATCAGCCCAAAATGTTCCCGATTATTTGTATTTCGGTTTAATCGATATATTGATCAAAAAGTCATATGGCTTAACACTGCTCTTTAACTTTCTCCTCTTCAACTCAGCACAATTCAACATTCTAAGTATATAACTCAACAGATTTTAGTTGACCTTGTACACCTAAGACACTTTGATTAAGATATCAATCAACTATAATTAGAAGGTGTAATTTTCAATGCAAGGATAAAAGTCTAACACTGATTGAGTGATTTGAATGAAAGGAGGCATCAAGTCAGCCAATTAATTCTCTCTCTTGTGAGTACAAATTACTTGAGCCCATAACTTGAGTACATTCAAGGTTTGTTAATTGTAAATGGATAAAACATTTTATTGATTCTTAGAAACACTAGCATCTCTGATCTTTTTCACCAATCTCTGTAAACTCAAATACACTACTTAATAAGCTTGATTCATGTTGAGATTGCACAATTCAGTGATACAATTGATCATGAAATTGATTGCTTCATAATTCCTCCATAGAACGTGCTTTGCTGACTCCAAATACTTCTCATAAAATTTCTACGCAATTACAATATTTATATACTTTCAAAATGTCTTATTGCTAATGATCAGCCATTGATTAAAACACCTTTCTAACCTACACAAATGCTTGCAATTTGATTTACAATGATAAATGATCACCCCATATTTGTATCAATAACTTCAATGCCTTCTTTTACAAACTTTCAAAGGCTGTCAACACGATATTCAAATTTCCAAGAGCGCGTATAACAAATAGGATTGTTCCCTCCTACGCCTCTTGTGTCTCTATAGTATGTTCCAAGAAATTCATTGCTTTGATGAAGAACCCTCTTATGATAACCTAATGAATATGTGATTCAATATGCTCTCTCTTAAATGTTTCTGCATAATCCACTTAATAAAAATCCCTTAAAATATTTGGAAGTTGTAGTAATGAGAATTGAATAATCTTCGAGTAATCTTCAGGTTCTTAGCAGTACTTTGCGATGGCTTGGTCTGGTTAATCCTCATCTTAATCTCCTTTCGATGCAAGTCTAAAAAGCTTAATCAATAGAGATATGCTCTTGAAATTCGGTGACTCTGTGAGTTTCTCAAAGAGTTGATTAATAATCATTAATTAAATATGTTACTTGATAACATTAATGTATTTTAATAATTGTCTATTACAAGTTGCAATTAGTATTAGACCAAGTATGAATAAAGAATTGAAGATCTCTAATAGTTATGCTCTCTTAGTCCAGAAAAGAGACCTCAAATTTCTAAAGGAAGCAAGGCATAAAGTAGAGTTATAAAACCTGTCAATTAATCGGTTTTTAATATAGAATATTATAATAATAACTTAAATTCTAGATTTATAAAGGTCTTTAAATAAACTATAGATATAGTATTGATTCTATAACTAATTAATTATCTCGTTATAAGACGCGACTATATTATATTTTTTATAAGAGTATTATTTTGTCTATAGATACAAATAAATCATATTTACTTAATTAAGTGAATATGTTGCTTTATCCTATAAGGATAATTAATAATGAAATAATTATACTTTAAAGAGACTCAAAATAAAGAATCTAATTGAATTATTTTATATTATCTTATTTATAACATTCTCATCATCTATATTGCCCTGGCATATATTATCCCTAAGAGTTTATTCCGATTTGGTTAGCTCTTTATGGGCTAGAATTATAGAGACCACCTTAATATTGAGGAGGTTAAGCTCTTTAAGGCTGTTATTAATATGTTTGAGGAGCTCCAAACATGGCTGGTTAGGATTATTAATATTGTTAATTGAATTGAGGCACTTATTATTATTATTATTATTATTATTATTATTATGGTTACTAATAATTAACAACAGGTCTTGATTATCCACCCTTACCAGAGTCAACTTAATGCAAATAATCCTGATCATAAGGAGCTTTACTATTATATAGATGACAATTTATTACTGCATACAATTTACCAGAAGGAATAATGACAACAAAAGCAACAATACTCCGACAATTGCTGTGTAAAGAATTGTATTTTAGGGGAGTGAATTTCATCAGGATTGACTTGATATGAATGAGAAATTGAAATTTGGTTTGTATCTTGGATTGAACAACACAAAATTTTTTCTATGTATTCTTAAAAATGAAATATTACTTAAAGAATGTATATGGAATAATGACATTAGGTTTCTCTTATTGAGTTGCTAATGTATTCTTATCTGAGATAGTTTTCATCAACAGATAACATTAGTTTTGTTCTCTGTGAATGTAATCCTACTTGGATAATGGATATGCTATTTTATCCTGGAGATTAAATGAGAAGTAAATGTCTTTATATTTTTCAAATTGCTCATCATTACAAGGGCATTTATATAGGCCATCTTCTTAAGTGCATTCCTAAAATTAAAAATCAAAATACAATTTGGAAATTCTTAATCTCCTTTAGGAAGCTTTGGATTACTGAATTATCAGCCCAAATAAATCTAGTGGTGCTATCGAAAATGGCAGTTCCAGTAGCTGCAAAATTAAAATAACCAGATTACATGCAAAGTTTCCTTCAAGACCATATGCAATCTTTTTTACTTTCAAAGCCCACGCCTTTTTTCCTACATTAGTAAATTAAGTGAATTTTGATTCTGCAAAATAGTTCGATTATTCTCCAATAATCAATAAAGATAAATTATCTTCCAATTTTATTGCAAATGTTGATGCTTACACATTATTCAATTGAGAATGGAATCTATTTTAATGATAATTAAATTACTATTAAAGTAAACTGTGGGTCTACTCCAAAGGTGGTTCATTCTTAACTTCCCCAACCATAGCATTTTTCTTGTTTTTGTATTCAATATAATCTGAACCATAAGCAAAACCTATCACACCATTCTTTGCTTTAAAATCATACTTGGGATCCTCCTTTGCATTTAAATTATCAATAAGTCCAAGACCAACTTAGTTTGCCTTCAATCCCATCAATTCTAAAGAATCCTTATTTCATGAATTAGTTCATACTTGAGTTGCATATGAGCCTGTAACTACTACACGTCCTCCGTAAGTATTTTCAGTGGTTAACGGGATTTTTTTTTGATCATCTGCAGTTTTTGAATATTAGCAACTTCCTTCACATTTGAATATTTCTGCATCATTTGGGCAATTAGTACATAAGTTAGTCTCAGTTTATTTGGTATAAACCCAAGAGATATAAGAAGTAGTATCTATTGTTTATTTGAGTTAAGTCTGCCCCAAAGTCAATGGAATCTGAATTATTAATCAAGAATACTGTTAAAATGTAATCATCCAAATATTTTTTAGAGTCATCTTCAGTTGCCTTCAATTTATTGCTCTCAAATGTTGAACTGCTAAAATGATTCTTCCTTCGTGTTTCAGAAGTTGCTTTCTCAAAATTAATTCTAACTTCAAATGCTGAAATGCTCAGAATTAAAATCCAAACTAATGCTAGATTCATAAATAAATAAATTTTATCAAATTTATTTCTTTTTTCGAGATTCAAAAAAATTTAAGAAGATATTTATATAGCTAAATTATCAGGTATTAATAAATATTATATAATATATAATTAAGTCATCTCTGCCATTTCAAATTAAATTAGGTTAGCAAATTTATAATACTATTTCTAAGCAGAGTCTGCAAGCTAAGTATAATATGATATTATTTATTGCATTGTTTCACTAGCATACATAATCGCTATTTATAGATGTAGGCAAAAATTTTATGTATATATATCATTAATAAAATTGGCATGAGTGTAATAATTACATATAAAATTGTAAGTTCAATTTATAATATCTTGATTATTGTTCTCCTTATAAATAAATTAATTTATCTAATTTCAAGTAAATAGTATTTCGCTTTTCATTTTATTTTTAGAATGATGGAAATATTTACTCAATCATAAAATTATAATGCAAATAAAGAATCAATTTGAGTACACATTAATTTAATACTAACTTTCGAGTTAATTATAAAGGTATTTTGATAAGATTAAAATTCTGATGTTTTCTACTATTATAATCTCAATATACTTATGCGTATTTATATAGTTTTGTTTCTTGGAAAGTATTTCTTCTAAAATCATTTATCATAATCTTCTATAAATTTATCTTCTCAGCTGGATCAACAGCAAACATGTTTGAAAACCTAAAAAGTAACTCATCAATTTTGATCTAAATGAATTACTTGCATCTTTTAAGTATTTCTATTTCAAGGTTGCATAATTCAACAGATTTAATGAGATCTTTATTATTATTTTTAGCTTAATTGTCTGCAATAGGGTTTGCTTTCTGCATTAGATTATTAACAAGAGTGATTTGATTTCAGTAATTACAACTTCAGGTGTAGAATGTTGATAATCTTAGAATTACCTTTGTTCAGATTTTTCTTTAGATTTGATTAACTAGCTTGATAACAAGTAAGAAGATTTTTCTTATTGATTTCCCCAGCAACAGGATGTAAGTGTCCTTATCCCTATTCATTGTAGACCTTCATGGACTTTTCATTCTAAACCAAATTATAACAATTTTCAAATGATTGCTCCTGAGAGCCTAAAACTGTGCTTTATTTCCTTCATCTTTAAAAGTTGAGGGTTTCTTTACCTTGTTTACTGATGTCGACATTTCCATATACTATGGCTCTCTTGATTTCATCCAAGGAATCCTTTTAAAGAGATGCAAGGAATTATTTATATGAAAAGTTTCCATTAATTTAAATTATTATGTCTCAGAAAAAAGCAGATTTTGATTTCCTTGTTAAATTACTTATCATTGGAGATAGTGGAGTTGGCAAAACTTGTTTGTTAATGAGATATTGTGAAAATCTGTTTACAAATAATCATTTGACCACTATTGGTATTATAAATTGGCACATTGCTAGGAATAGATTTTAAGTTAAAGACAATTGAAGTTGGAGGCAAGAAGGTTAAAATATAAATCTGGGACACTGCTGGTTAAGAGAGATTTAGAACCATCACTTAAACTTATTACAAGGGAGCCTAAGGAATAATTTTGGTTTATGGAGTTGACGATAGGGTTTCATTCTAAAGGTATTATTTAAACACCATTCTTAAGCATAGAAAATTGGATGAAGTAGATCAATACTCATGCCTAAGAGGGGGTGAGTAAATTGCTAGTTGCAAACAAAAGCGATTGTGCTGATAGAGTAGTTTAGACTTAAGAAGGTCAAAGATTAGCAGATCAATATGGCATCCCTTTTTTTGAAACTTCTGCTAAAAATGGCACCAATATCTATGAAATTTTCAATTCTATTGCCAAAATGGTTATAGATAAACAAAACAAGGATCCTCTTGATCGTCCATCCAATGTTTAATTATCATAGTAACCTCAAAGCGAGGTTTAAAAAAAATAAGGAGGATGCTGCTGACAATTTAAAATATATATTCAGAATATTCAATTGTTTTATACATTTCTCTTCATTATTTCCATAAATTTCTTTCTGATATTCTAATACCTTTCTATCTCCTTATTTATTTATCCTCAAAGCTTTATCCATAATACCCTTCATTCTCCTTTCAAAATCCCCTTCTTCATTGAATTGAAAACTCATTTATCTTTAAATCAAGCTAAACAACTTACATTTTGCAATAATTTCACCTTTAAAATTACATAATTAAAACTTATAATTTATTTATAAGACATATACAATACAATTTCAAATTTTAATCCTTCTATTCCTCCTTTAATAAAGATATGTAAGTATTCTTAAATTAGACTTTAATTTTTGAAATTCTCAATATTAATTATAAGTTCATTTACCAAAACTTTCAAACGCTTTCTTATTTTATAAACAAACATTCATAGTACTTCATAGAAGTCTTTGAAGATTAACCAGAACTCATCTAATTATTCATATACATTATAATACATACCTTAAATTTAGATGAACTCATCAATTTATGTCTCCAATATATTTATACCCTACTTTTTCTTAAATAAATTTAATTAAATGATGCTTAATTCCTTATTTATTAACTAATAATTGGCTAATTTATCACAGCAATCAACAAAGAATGGCTCTTGTTTTCATTTAAAATTTGATTTAATCTTTTTATGATTATTTCTAGAATTTATATTATATTATATTTTAATGTAAGCGAAAAGATTAGTTCTTGACCCATTTTGTTACAGACAGTTTGGAACATAAGGAAGTTAATAAATTCTTTATGACAGAGAGAAATTTGTGGAAAAGGTGAATGAATTATACAGAAAGGAAGATTTAAAGGATGGGTACCAATAATTGTGTATTTTAGTTATGCTCCATTCTGTAAACATATATTTATAGAAAATTTCACAGAGACACCCAATTATATATTGAAAATAACATAAGAAAATGAGTATTTAATCAAAACAGCATATAAAGCAAGAAATGAAAGAGAAGTATAAATATTAATTTAATTACTAAGTTGCCTGTTTTAACAAGGTTTATTCCAGCAGGTTCTATTGAATTGCAAAAAGCAAAATTCTTAGACATAATCCTCTACTCAAAAGAATAAATTACTAAAGAAAATAAATCATAAGGAGTTGAGGATATTCATGGTCAAATTGATTATGATTTTGGCATAATTTCAATCAAACCACAAGACGAAAATACTGAAATACCAATGTTACCTATCACATCGATGAGAAACTCCCTCGGAACTAAAGAAGGAGGCTCAGGAGTTGAAATGAACAGAGAAGAGTATTTAAAATCTGTGAACTTTTGGTCAAAACATATATTGGTTGAGTGATATTAATTTAGACATATTCATAACATTTAATCTATTGCCTTTATTGCTTGAGAGGAGCATCATATGGATTTATATCAAGTTCTTATTTGCTTTCTTTTGTTTATTTTTTCTTAATTATTTGGAAAATAATCTTCATCAAATTGATATCAAATGCAATAAAGAAATGGAAAATGTCTCCTTCCTATCTGGCTTGCAGTTAATACATTTTTTTTTGATTGGAACTGACATTACGAATAACGAATATAATTTTATGAAATTTACTCTTTTCAAAATTTAAATTAGATGATTGATTCCCTATTCTTTACAACTACCGATACTTGAATTGAGAAGCATTTTGGATAGATAAATCTTCATTTAATTTTAATATGTGTTAAATACCAATTTACCTACTGAATGTTCCTTAGATCTACTTTATTTAAGCATACTAATAATTATTATTAATGAATTATCAATCATTACCTTAATTATAAAAGTTCAAACAGAGTGCTCAAACTCCTGATGAACATACCAAAAGAGGTGATGAAGTGACTCGTTTGAAATAGCAGGTGCATCAATTGCAAAAATAAATTGAACTTGTTCAATAGAACAAATCTTTTGTTATGAAGATTCAGAATTAGCAATGCACTCTCTGTCTCAGATATAAAGTACTAAGGTACTTGATATATTGTAGACTCAAATAGAACAATTAATTAAACAAGAAAAATAGATCAAGAAATATTATGAGTAGAAAATTGAAGAATTGCTATAAAGTTTAAACAAGAAAGGTCGCAAACAGATGATTTCTTAAATCTAATAAACCGACCTTGTTCCAACTTTGAACAAAGAAGTTTAGGTATAATTGTTGATGGAATAATAACCTTAATAAAATTATATTGAAAATTTGAAACAATCTCCTTTGGTGAAATAATATGAAGATATCATAATCGATTTCCATAAAGATTACGAAAACAAGGCCTATTAAGTTTTATAATACAAAGAATTATATGAAAAGTAGAAATCCCAATATGAATAATTTAAATCCCAACACTTAAATTGTTATGATAAGATTCACAAACTACAAATCGAAGTTAACTTCTTGAAAGATACTTCAAATTAATACAAATTACCTGATAACATATTGAATCTTAAAAAGACTATCGATTGCACAATAGAATAAAATAAGATGAATCAAGTTGTAATGAAGACTTAGGAAGGTGATTCTACCATGAAACTTTATTAGAAGCTTTAATAAATAGAGACTGATCTCTACATCAGTCTCAGATGTACTAAATGCAAAGACATGTATACAAATCCTTCCACATTTGTTCCTTGTGGTCATAGTGTTTGTTCGAGATGTTAGAGTAATAGGTGTGAAAAATGCGATAAAGATGCTACTTATTTTAGAAATAACAGTCTAGATCTTTTGATAAAGATGTATCAATAGATAAGGGAAATTTAATAAAAAAGATGATAGATAAATATATATATATAATTGTTCAAGATTTAGTTCTTTTTTCATCTTTTAAAGCTTAGATTCTCCAACTTTCAGAGAATTCATTTAACTTTTACATAAATTCTTGATGAAAACCAACATTATCTGAATGTTCTGGAAGTTTAAGTTTTTGCATCTATTTCAATTGGTGTTATTATATAGTTTATTTTTGGTTCTACTATTTCTAATTTACCTGGGTGGATGTGTTTTTCTTTTGGATATTGGATAGATCCAACTTCAATTTCACATTAGATTTAGTATCGAGAATGTTGGTATTTTTATATTCAAATTTTCTAACGCTTTCAACAATTGATTCATTGTCAAACCTATTAAGGAAACAAAAGCTGGATTCATCTGAATCATTTATAACAGAATTGTCTGCATCATGAACACTACGTTCGTAATGCTGATGTTTTTAGACAAGGGATTTCTCTGTTTATTCAGCAACGCTGTCATCATTTAAGACTTCTTCATTATAAATTTTTTCAATGTCGATACCACTTTTTTTGATTGCCAAAACCAATTTAATCAATTTTGCCTCTTTTTCACTCATCTCTTAAATCTTCTATTGCATGACATCCTGCATTTCTTTCAACTAGATTGTATCCATACTATCCACATTATTACTTTAGGTGTTCTTGTTGTTTGCTATCTATTTAGGTGTGTTGAGTTATTTAACAGTCTCAAGCAAGATGTCTCTCTCTTACTCAATTTACTTATAATTATTTTACCATAGGTCCTTTTCTCTGCGGATTTAGTCAATCATCTCATAAAACTTCTCCTCTTGTTCGCATAAGACTTGAATACACATGCTGTTGAAGAGTTCGAATAAGTTATTCATTATTTGCTATTGGACATCATTCAAATCACTTAATGATACAAATTGCTGTTTGTATAGTTGCATATTCTTTTGCTGTTTAATTAAATGCTCTTTATGAAATTCCCATCTGGAGAACTATTTCTTATGAATCAAGGAGGCTTGGATTTGGGTGTTGAGATTCCAAAGTTCTTAATTCCTTTTGACGGGTTTCCTTTGGCCTGGACTCTGAGAATCACTCGTGAGGTTGCTGGTTAGATTCTATTTGGATCTATATAATAAGGTGTACACATACAGTTGCTGAAGGATGTTTGAGGAGAGGATGTGACTGTCCCCAATGATTTTTCGTAGTTTGAGTCCATTTTAAGATCCATACAATGAGTCATCTTCAACTTACATGGTGGCGAAAGCAGAGACACGACTTTTAGAACTGCTGTTGGTACGATTGTTGTTATTTTCCGAGATGTTGTTTTTGTGTTGCTTGTATCGCTTCTCTTCGATAGATTTGGAAGTGGGCATTGTTTATTTGATGGTCAAACGCTATTGCTGAAATTTTGGAGGGATATGGAAGAAGTTGTTGTGTTCTGGACAGATGTTTGGCTGAGATGTTTATTTCGGAATCACTACCCTTGCCATGGCTTCCTTCACCGTGTTGGGGGCTACTCGTTGCATTTCAGATAATTTAATTTTTATATAATCATCAATATTATGTAATTGCGAGAACCAAATCGACCCAATGTGATTAACGCTTTGATTATTGATTCTAAGGATCTTGATTGAATATTATGAGTGATTTTTTTACAATAAAAGTTATTCAACAATTATTGTAACAAAGTTCTTAAAATATTGATTTAATTATACTAGAATTAGATTAGATCTTTGTGAAAATTAGAAAAATCATATAGATTTTATTTCAACATTTGTAATTCATACAGAATCACTTATTAATATAATAGATAAGCTTGAATTAAATACTACAAATTTATGTAAGTATCTTATACAACAAAATATTCAAAGATATTAGGAATAAGTTAATAGTCACGTACACACTATTTTAAATAGGGTAGTGAGTGTTTTAGAGGTTGGCTTATCTAAAAATTTAAGTTGTTATCAGAAGTAATATTAATAAATAATTTAAATTCAAAAATATGAATACTTTATAGGAAAACAAATTATTTGTTTAGCAAATTAAACAAAAACAGGACGAGTTCAAAGTATCAATTTGTCATAGAATAAGAAAACTATTTAAATTCCATTTAAGAAAGAGCCTCCTCTCTTGTAGCAGCATAATTTTAATTAGCTCACATCTCCGAATTAAAGAAGAGAGCAAACTCCAAATTAAAGAAAGGGCAAGATTGAAAGTACACGAGTCATTTAATATTTAGATGATAATTCGTGTTCCCCCACTCTTTTTCGCACTCCTTAGATTAGTTTGCATTATGAATAAAACAAAAAGCAGCATCAATTGAGTAATAATAGGAGTCGCAACGAAAATGTATCAATTTACAAAGAGAGAAGAGAGCCGATTAACGACTCAGCGACTAAGGATTACTCGAGAGTATTGGATGAGGTGATGAAAAAATACAGACAATTGAAGTCAGAGTTGTTGACTAAGGATAAGGAAGTGCAGAAGACAAGGTTTTATAAGGAAGAGTGGTTGAAAGAGAAGGTGTATTTATATCATGTATGAATATATAGAAGCGTAATGAATAATTACAAGAGAGAAACAAGATTTTAAAAACGAAGATGCTGAAAATCATTGAATTAGTTTAATAAGATTAGTTGAAATAGAATGACGATTCGGAGGTAGTATCATTCTATTAAAATGATAGTTAATAGGGTATAATCGCTAGTCTCTAAGCAGAAAATAAGTATTTACGTTAGATGTTGCATCTATATGATGTGACAGACATCTCAAGTCAATTGGAGCAGCTGGAAGGAGAGTAGGATTCAGAAGTAGTTTACATCGATAACATTTTGAATACATTCCTAGGTGATTTGAAGACAATACAAAAGAATAGAAGAGAAAAGAAGGACAATTAATAATTAGGTACATGTGATATGAATATTCAAGGCCAATTCAATTCATTGTCACTAACAGTTTTGAACAAAGAATCAAGCTTTGTTGATTTATCAGAGGATAAGCTTTTAATGGAATAATCATGATTTAATTTATATTTTTAGATAATTGTCAACAGAATCTTGAATTATGTTTAATTGTAGTTGTAATTCTCTTGATTAACGTGATATTTATTTTACTTTATAAATTAATAAAATGTAAAATAGAGATGAGATGATAAAACAGTTATAGAATCTACAAGACCCCTATGTACTGCAACGTCAGAGGTAATAGGATGTCAAAAGGAAATACGAGTAATTGTTGGCATAAGTCAATTTGATGTATGACGAGGATGGAAAGGAGCGTCAATATTCAGTTGATTTTCAGAGATTCATTCATTTCTATAAATATCTGGCTCGTCGACCAGACAGCGAATAGTCCAATTAATCAGTGATAAACAGGTTATAATTATGGGTACCTGACACGATAGTGCTGAATGATAGAGAAATGCCGAATTATTGGTTATATTCAGATTCAAGAGGTTACGTATTTAGAACAGATACCTTTACATCCAAAAAAATGTTATTAGCAAATTGGCCAATTACACATCCCCCCGATGAACTTGTAGCAGTGGTTAAAAAACAATAGTTTCGCAACATGGAATTAGTTAGGCAATGAAGTAAAGTTAGTTTGCTGTAGAGATTTGCAATCGTAGATAAATGTCAACTTCTCAAATCGTATGGATCTTTGTGTCATCCAGAAGTTCGTCAAGAGCAATGGACCCAAAGCATTTATCTGTAGAACCATTTGGAGAAAAGATAAGAATCCCTATTGCTATATCATAACAAATAAAGAGGATTACTTCTCTCCATCAACCAATCCTAAGACTGAAATGACTAAATATGCTACCAATGTGAATCTGTAAAACTCATGCACTATTGTGAATACTTGTCGAGGTAAGTATGTTGATGAGACTGTCCCTTATGTTAAGAATCTTCTCACTTACCTCTATATACATTTGCATATCACTTTTAAAGAGTTTTCAGCTGATTTCATAAAAGATGAAAGTGGAATCTGGTGGTTTGTCAATGTGAAGGGATTCATTATTGACAAAAGTCCAGAAAAGATCATGTGGAAGTCTATCACTCATTATGGAGAAGAAATAAATGAGGAGGGATAACCTATAGTTTAGAAACCCGTTTCAACTCCCAAGGCCAAAGTTGCTGACATGTGTTAAAAACAAAAGATTTGCAAGTATTGTGAGCAATCCTATCCAGAATAACATTTATAATATAAGATGACTCTTAAGATGATCATTCAAACTGATAAACATCTCTACTGGAGAGGTAAGACATTCAATTGGATTGACAGATCTGATGTCACCAATCTTGAAGTCAGCAACCTTTATCATGAACATAAAGTTTGTAAATAATGTTACACTTTATACAAGGAAACAGAATAGCTAATTGAATTATAATTGCAATTTAATAAGTTGTTGGGATTGCCTAGTGATTATGATACTATCAATTAGATGTTGACACTCAAAGCCAATCAAGTAAATAATGAAACTGTTAAGACTGGATTAGAGGATTCTAAATAAATATTCAACATCTCTGCCACCAAGCAATTGATACTTAATAATTAACTTATTCCTATGATTCATAATACAGTCATTAAGAATTCTGAACAGGTTTAGATTTATGAATATTGATTCATTCAATCAGAGATGTACCTCAGAATGTTGATTTGTCTAAACATTATTACATTGAATGCAATATCTTTGAATAGAAATTCAAAATCAAATTAGATTTGATCTAAGGTTAATTATTTGATAAAGGTTATTTCTTAACACTAAATCGTATGCGACTATATTATTTTTTTAGTGATCAACGCAAAGGTTGGATAGAATATGTGAATCAGTTAAAAGTACTTCCTATGTATTTATACTAAGACAATACAAGGATTGGTACATTAGAACTTGAACTCTAAGAACTACTGTCAGAAAGAGTTATCAGAAGAGAATTCCTTAAGGTGTTTAGTGTAAAGGATTGTTATCCAATATTGAGTTGGTCACTAAATGTATTTAATGTTTAATAATTTAGTTAACATTAGGACTTGTGGATTCAGGACCAGTAAATGTTACTAGAATTAAGTTACAAGATCATTTTGGAATTCAATTACCAAATCCTGACTATTGTACCTGTGAACCTTTGCCTGCTGAATGGATGACTATATTAAATCAGAAGAAAGATGTGGAGTAATCTAGATTTGAAAGATAAATGACTGCTTAGACTTTAAAGAGAGTCTCCACAGCCCATGCCAAATTATAGAAGAGTAAATTCGAAGGATCCTCAGTGTAATAAGAAATGGAGTCTTTCAATGATTCAACCAAGGAGTTATACAGTTAACTAAATTTAAAGAAAGAAATTTAATTGTATGAAGTAGATGAGGATGAGCGTAAATAAAAGAAAAGAAGACACTTTTAATAGTATGATTTATGATATAGTTTTTTGTTAATTATCATAATGTTATAATCAAACCCAGTTTCTTAAAATCAGCAATCTTCTACTTTACATTCCTGGCATTAATCTTATTTTATGACACAATTATATTCTTAAGATGAATGCCAATCAATCCATTTTGATATAACTAGAATAAAGTATCGATGCTTTTATCGGTTAATGAGTTCTGCGATAAATTTACACTCTAAATATTATCATTCTATGACAATGCTAAATTAAAGGAATCAATAAATAACATACCCTTAAATAACTACAGGAGTTGATCATCCAACAATTTGGATTTCATAATTTTCACACTTTTCACCTTCCAATGTTTAATTTCATTCCCCAAAACAACCAACATATCTTTCTCTAAATTATTGAATTCTGCAACGTCTGTCTTACCCTTTCTCAACTCATCCATATACAACTATAATTTCATCGGAACTTAAGATTTCTTTCTGCAAATCGAAGCTCTATTACTTTCCTACAATTTTTATTTACTAATTTACTATTGGTGATAAGGTGGGATCACAATTTTCAGTATTCATTAGATTAGTGGGAGTGGCACTCCTATAAACTCTCTTGATTTAATTAACAGGTTCTGCTTCATTTGCAAATGTAGCACTTACATCATTTAATAAATCTGTTTCCTCAATTGATTATTGCATGTTAAACGAACTTAATAAATATGGGGATTATTGAGACTAGTTATTATTGTTTGTAGTTAATTCAGGCCCTTCAGTTATTTTACAAAAGTCTTCAAGTTTGAGTGCATTCCAATTAAATTTAACATTAATTTCTTAACCAATCAATTGATCTTTTTTTGTTCTAATCTATTATTGGTTTTTCTTCACTTCTCTTATTTAATTAACAAATACTCTTACTATTAGAGTTGAAGTCCATTGGCTCTCAAACTATCAGTTAGATTGAGTAATTCCCAATATTTAACCTATTCTGTGAATTACTCAAAAGCACTTGATGCTAATTTAATCCAAGATTGGCATTCCTTTTCAATATGGATAGTGTTATTCCACCAATCACTAAACTTGTTGATATTGTTGGATGTAGCAATCATTATTTGGGACACTAACTAAGTTTAGAAAAAGTATACACTTACAATCTTTTCTTTTTAATCTATTTTATCTCTCAATTCTGCAAATTCCTTCTTTAACTTATCAACAGCAATACGTTGCATTTCTGAAACCTAAGCCTAGAAGTCCTATTCATGCTTGCTTCTTGAAATAGACGAGGATTCTTTGTGAATTCTTTCAACCATCTCTGTAAGTTCTTGTGCCTTCATCTCTAACAGTGATATGATGTCCTCCTCACTATAAATATAATGACCTTTATGACTTCCAAATAAAGCACAATTAGTACAAATCATAGTTTGACACTGGAGACAAACTACTTCGAGTTGTCTGCGATGAGTTTGACACAGCTTCCCAGAATTGTATGAATAATTTAGAGAACCAAAACTATCGTCTTGATCTCTGAATCGTTTCAAATTTAACTTTTAGGGTTTCTTCACAGAAGTGGCCAATTCATCCAAGAAATTGCTATCAATACTTGTTTCGTCTGATGGCCATTCCTCGAAAGTTTGATTGGTCATTTTCGATTCTAAATTGATTGGTCTTAGATTCTTTGATTTTTGCAATTACAGAATTCGCAATAAGCTCTGATTGAGAGGAAAGTCGTCCAGTTTCAATTAGTTTTATTTGATTTATTATAACTAATTTTAAATGGGAAACACTACTTGAGTCAAATCATTTTATAAATGTATAATCTTATCAGCCTCAATGGTTTAGTCGACTATTTGTTACACGCACAATTAACAAATGGTGTCTCCTGTATTTGGAATCAAGCGAGGCCATCTTACACAGATGTCTAATTCTTACCCGCAAATTGAACATAAGAGTTCCATAACGATTTAATTTTAAATTTTATAGAATATTTATAATTATTCATTTTCTATTTTATAATAGTGTTGTCGTTTTTTATATGTATTTTTATGTGTCTTTGCAGATTCATAAGTTTGTGATCCCAAAGAGTAAGACGATTGGATTGTGTCTCAAAATAACTCATATTTGATATGCTCGAATCATGAGTTAAACAATATAAATTTTATTTTCTAATGTAAGACGATCGAGTTAGATACATGTATGACTTTTATTTCATAAAAGGAATTCTGTGTATTCTGAACATAGAAAGGATCTTTCTAAAAACATGGATGTTGTGTGTTTTGCTATGGCAGTTGAGTTGGACAGATTGGTACAAGAAAACAATTTGCTTAAAGAGGAAGTCAAAAGAAATCTCAAATCTTAGAGTTGATCGACTCAATTACGAAAAGCAAATTGGAGATCTGATGAACAGATTGCAATAGCTTATGGCTGAAAATGATATGCTAAAACGGGATAATGACAAATTGAAGGCTCAACTAAATTCAACTAATCAGAGAGCCCAACAACTAGAGGGTCAAGTAAAGGACTTTTAATAGGAAATACAATTGGTCTCCAATAAGTTGGAAGACATCACTGGAGGAGATGGCGGTAAATCAAATAGTATGATCTTTTATTTTAGATTTTGACATCGAAGCTTTAAAATAAAAGGCTGAGTTATTGGATAATTTGGCTAAGGATGGACAATCGATGGAGGACTTATCAGATTTATTGGATTTCTCTTAGAGAAAAAGCAGAAAAATATGATCATCATTTAGAATTGTTGAATGGCAGAGATCTTGAAGATGTATTAAATGATCTTGATGAATTGGAAAAGCTAAGGAAACTAGTTAAAGAACTTTAAGCAAAGGTGAGTGATTTATAGAAGGAATTGGATGCATTAAAGAAAAAGTCTAAAGAATTAGATGATATGAAGAAGAAATTGGGAGATGATCCCAATAAGGAAGTCGATAAATTGAGAAAGCAATAGAAGGACTAAGAGGATATCAAAAAGAAATTGGCTGATGCCTTGAAAGAAATAGAGTAATTGAAGAAATCATTGAATGACAAAAATGCTGAATGCAATAAGTTAGGTTAATAGGTTGCTTAACTCGCTTAAGACAATTAGCTTAAAGATCAAAGAATTTAGGAATTGGAAAGATATGCTCAATAATACCAGGAATTACAAATCAAGGTCAATAAATTGGAATAAGAATTAGATAATCTATAAAGATAATTGAGAGATAAAAACCAATAATTAGAAGATAAAAATTAGATTGATTGATAACTTAAATAGAGAAATCTAATAATTGAAAAGCTGAATTATAAAGATTAAAGGATTAGATTGCCAATTTGGAGAGAGAAAAATAATAATTGTTGTAGTAATTGCAATAATTGCAAAACTAACTTGCTCAATTGTAAGACTAACAAAGAAATGCTTAAGCATAATTACAACAATTAAACTCAATTGCTAATCAGAATGATGATGATAAGGAGAGATATGAACAAGAAATAGATGAATTGAAAAATGAGATTGAATCACTCAAAGAATAAATTGAAGAATTGAACGATGAAATAGCAAAATTAAAAAGAAAGATATCAGAATAGGATGATTAGATCGATTCACAAACTAAAACTATATCTAATAAAATTTCAAGAATTAAAGAATTAGAAGATCTGTTGAATCAAAAAGAAAAGGCCATCAAAGAACAAGAAATTAAAATAAAGAAATTACCAGGTTCGAGTGTTGTTGTTGGTGGAAGAGCAGGATAACCAGCATAGGCACTACAAGGAGGATCTGATGTTATCAACAAATCCTTGGTCAATTAATTGTAAGGAGGTACAGGTTAACCAGGTAGTTTGGGATCTAAAAGCTTAGGATAAGGAGATGAATCTTAAAGTACTGTGTAGTTGAGTCAATACCAAAATGTTTTATTGGCTTATTTGTTGATTGCTGCCGAAAATGAAAGAATTAGTGAGGCTTTGAGAAATACAGTTTAAGATTATGAATAAGTATTAAATGATTTGAGAAATGCTGAAGGAGAGATCTCTTATTTAAAGAAATCTATATCTGATTTACAGACTTAAATTAATGATGTAAATAATAGTTTCATTTTTAGCTTCGATTATAATTAGATGAGGCAAGACGAAAGGCTATGAATAATGATGAACTCGAAAAACTAAGAAGATAATTAACAGAGTACGAGAATAAATTAGCCTTGTTATCTATGGAATTGTAGAGATAGAGAACAGTCTCTGGTTCAGGAGTATAGGGAGCTTCCTAACAATTTATTTCTTAATAAAATACATTTGGATATGAGGATAAATAGATCAACTTTGATTAATAATACAGGTCACCAAGAGGATCACAAAGAAATGTGAATATCAATACCAATGGTGAGGATGAGTCTTGGAGGTTGAAGAAGATAATTGAAGATTAATTATGTTTGATAGTCCTTATGTCAGCTGAGCTTGAAACCTTGAGATCTTAAGATACATCTACTTAAAGACTGAATTAATCAGGAGTACAGAGATCAACTATCCAAACCAGTTAAGTTTAGGTTGGATATGGAAAAAGCACAATATATTGAATAATCATATATTCAAACATCAATAAATTATAAGTATATACATTGTAATATTTATAATTTCAGCATTAGTTCTTTAAAGATGCATATTAATTCTATGGTAATCATTGATTATCCTATTTATCTGAATTAAACCATTCATTCTCTCTATCAAAGATCAAAATTTATATTTACAATCTAGAGATAGTTCCCTTTCTTTAAAGGTTTTCTAATTTATATAGATTATCAAAATTTAACACCCATATGGCAGATGCATAATTCCTAGACAAGTAAATTTAAGATCTATGAAGTATGTTTGTGATATGATTAATGAACCTATTGCGATATATAAAGGCTTTCTCCTTTAATTCTATATATCCCTACTCAATGTTTCCATGATTTCACTTATAGATTTGGTCTTAGTTATTTTACGAATGTTATTGATTCCTTACTCATTCAGTGCATCTTAAATGCCTTCTAAAAAAGTCATGTGAATCGGAGACTCATAATTACTTTTTTTCATCATAGTTTCAAAAGTTAATTTATGGTAGTATTATTTCTGCTTCTAAGCATATGATTTGCTAGCCATTCTCCTATCAGTATATTTATCTAGAGTGTATATGAATTGTCTGAGATTTCTGTATTTACAAATTCATAATTGATGATTCATTAATATATGAAAAAGAAATAAGTAAAATCAAAATCTCCAACTCCTATTAAATAGCAAACTACTATTGACACTCCAAAATTCAAAGAAAAGGCATCTCAGCAAACTCAAATGGCTTAGTTCCCTAAAAATCAAATAGAATCAGAATACTTCTCTTTTAGTGGAATCTAGCAATACAAAAAGCAATCAAAATCTGTGCATGAATTAAGCGACTAAGTAAAGAAACTCAACAAAAGTTTCACTAAGGATAAAAAAGTTAGCGACTCCAAAACTCAGAAAGTTTAGATTTTTAATAACAACTACCAAATTATCAATATAAATCAAATTGAGAAGAAAGAATCAATACGTTCTCTCCAAAGAGAATTTAAATAAATTTTAGAACGCAAAGCACCAAATAAGGCATCCACACCTGTCAAATAGTAATCTTCTAATAGTCCCATGCAAATAGCTTCTAAAATTTCTGCCTACCCTTCAGCTAATAATTACTTCTAAAGAATCAAAAAACTCGGTTAATCCACTTTGTTAAGGAAAAAGTTTTGATTAATAAATATATATATGAATTAAACGAGCTTCTCCCCAAAAGTTCACAACATGAAATTCGATCAATATTGCTCAAATATCAAAAGTTTATCTCGATGTAAAACTGAGATGGGCATAGTTCATTAAAAACCAATGATCAATTTAAAGCAAATTCTTAAGGATCATAAATCGTTTAGTAATCATACCCAAATTGAAACAACTCGAACATGTATTGTGGCAACAGAATAGCAAAAGAGATTTTTATTATAAAAACGAGGATCCAGAGTTGTAACATCAAAACCAAGATACTCTGAAGAATTGGAGAAAATAAAATAAAAATTTATTAAATTAGCAGAAGGCTGGAATAAAAAGGAGGAAAATTATCTCAAACAGCAATCTATTTTGAAATAAGAAATTGCAAGACTGCATGTGATTATTTAGCATCTAACAAAAAAATGAAAAAGTTCCTATTTATTTATTACTAAACTTAATTTTCGACTCATTGTAATCCTCCTATTATCCTTTATTGTAATATTTCAATAGGAGAAGTATAAATGATTTTTATGCCTGATAACTTGAATTACAATTACAATTATAAATCTTAATTTTTATTATATTTCAATTATTTAAGGTGTGTAATCTTTACTAAGCTATACACTATAAAGTTGAAAGTTTGAATCGGTCAACAATGACTTTTCTTCCAGATTTATTTACATCAAATATCGGTTCGTTTCCTTCAGTACTGAGTACTCTCTTTTTTAAGAGAATATCATTAAATGTCCTACATTTAGTTGTATTGCTTTTTTCCTAAATTAGTAATAAACATCATAAATACCTTAATCTACCATAATAAACCAGCAATATATTTTTTCTGATCTTCAACTTATTCACCTAGAAATGAAATCGCTTTTTTTTATTTTTCCTTATCAATTGTTGTCGTAAGATCATGTCTCATTAACTTTTTTTTCAAATCCTTAACCTCTGAAGTGAGATCTTCATGTTTATCAGATAACTATTTATATTATTCTTCCCAAATATTTATTTATTATTTACTTATTATCTGAGAAGACTTTAAAAATATATCTCCTATTATTTCAACTGATTTAAAAGATCCTATTGATTTGGCAGTTTTGGTTTATATAACTATTCACATGAGCATTCATCTGAGACTGCAATTCTAGCGAATTCTGACTCATAAAGTTTGAACTCTGTGAAAAATGTTAATAACTTAGTCAATTTAAGAGATAATCTCAAGTTCTTCATTTTTAAATCTTCTACTTAGTTTTATGGCTAGTCTATCATTCTTTGGTCCTCCATCTCTTCAAACGCTGATTTCTTATTTTTTGGTAGCTATTAAAATTAATTTTGAAGATTATTGATGGTAGCACTATATCCACGAATTATTATTTCTTATTCAGCTATTATTTTATCTTTTTCATCATTTTTTCTCTCTAATACTGCAATTTTAACATTAGCATTAATTAAGTTTTAATAATCTTCTTAGATTTGTTCTTTCAGCTTTTCTTATTTCGTTTGCAATTACTTCTCCACCGATTCTAAAAATTCTGCTTTTTATCGAATAAACTTATGCTCCAGTTCAACTTTTATTGACTTTCTCAACCTATTTGTCTCCATAAATTTTATTAATTAATAATATTTTATTATATAAGTATACTACTATATCAACATTAATGATAAAATCATTCATAAGATCTAAGTAATTACCCTAATATGTCTATTATTATGATAAACCATTAGAAATAAGGAGCAAATAGAATCTTAATTCAACCAAAGACATGGAGAACAAGTCTCACTAGAAATCCATTTATAATTAAACAAATGATTTAAACAATATATTATATAATTATAAAATAAATATATTAATAAAATAAATGTCCAAAATTGATTGGGAATAGAAACTCAAATGTTATCACGCTTTAAAAGATAAAAAATCGATTACGAACATGCTTTAAATTAAAACAAAAAATATTAGATTATCACCATCATTGGTATCAACAACAAGAGCAGGAACTGAACGAAATTCTTTTCGACATAAGAGATTAAAGACTCCAATGGAAGATGGAATATTGTAAATCAAAACTAGTAGATCGTAATAAGTATGTAAAGATAATTGAGGAGGTATCTCCATTAAGGGACGTTTGTCCTTGGAACACTCAGACACCATTACAGAAACTCATGAAGATTGATAAAGCCACAGAGAAGGAAAAAAAGGTTTTACAGTAATTTATATGCAATAAATGGCTAAAAGAAGTCATTTTAAAGAAAAGCATTCATGTGGCTATTCCAAAAGAATCCGAAGAGGAGAAGAGAATTAGACTATAAGAATTTGAGACCTCTGAACATCATCGATAGTTAAGAATATAGCAATCATTAACACCAAGCATGAACAAAATGGAGAAGGTGTTCTGCAAAATAAAAATCTTTTGTAAGTTAGCAAGTT